TGCTCTAAACATGTACAGGATAGTGCCCTACACTTTTTTCCCTAAGTAATACAAGGGCTCTCTGCTCCTCTGTGATCCTGTTGATTCTTGATTACCTCCAATGTAGTTAGGCAGGTTAGGCAGCAGATGACCCGGGGAGGGACTTCGCTGCCACACCACCTGCTGCCCCTGCAACTCCCCCTCCAGAAATGACACCAACTGTGTTGGCGTGTCACTGCCATTTTATTCTTCCAACCATTTGGCAGCTATTTGCTGCTGGCCTTTCAAAATTCGATTTTCTGTTTTGAATTCTGTTCTATGAATTGTTCTTGGCACAATGGTTATAAACCATTTTGTACACCTTTGGGAAAAAGCAGAAGTGGCTGGACATAAAGAGCTTCAAATAAATAGTTGAGACATTTTTGACAGCATAGTAATGAGCTTTTAAAAGATCTTTAACTGTGAAGCTAAGCTGCTCTAAATTTTACGTTGAGCAATAATACTTTGTCCTACTTTGGGGTGGGGGGGTGCTCATGAGCACAAAACTTATGTGCTCTTTCAGTTAATAGATGCATCTATATGTACCAATAAGCAAAAAACTCTAGCTTAATAAACCATGATAAAAATGAGCAGCCTGCTGGTGCATATAGTATATTCAACATTCCTTCCCATGACATCCAAAACTAGAATTATAAGCCCCTTTAAACCTGGCTTTGTTGTTGGCTTATGAATCCTTACAAATTTGTTTGCATGCAGTAAACAAATAATGCCTCATTTGGGCATCATACAAAGCTATCCTTTCATTATTTGTTTACCTGCTCATGTGAGGGGAAGAGCAAAGTGGGAACAGACTGGCACACTGCTTATTTGCATTGCTGCTTATTCAGCCAGAATGGTTTGTTTATCATTACAAGGGAACATGCAAACACAGCTCAGTACCTGTGATGCTGGTGAGTGTGATAAAAAAAAGTGTCATTAGCAGTGTAGAGCTGCTGCCTTTTTAACCAGCTCCTATACCTTTGCCTTAAACAGTTCCTCTGTGGCAAGCTTTTCCTACTGATTTTTGCAGATCAAGGAGTTGCTAACAGCACAGAAAGAGATGATGCCATTGGCTAAATTGTCATACCTTCCTTTCATGTGAGATCTTCATCTGAGTATTTTACTTTGACTTTTGAGGAAACTGTCTATACAAAATGTTTTGCCTTAGAGGAGTAAACAGTACAAGCAAATGAAGGGGGGCATTTTAAATAAGTTCCAACTTAGAAAAAACAATGATGTGCCTTTAAGACTGTTCTTGGCTTCTTGCACTACAGATGCTCTTTTGCACTGATCCTTTCATTATTTGTTTACTTGCTTCCACATTGGCTGCGTCTGCATGACAAGATAATCCAGGGTGGGTTGCTATTGACAATGTCATGTTGGGGGGAATTCATCTGACATCATACAAGTGGCTTGTGTGTGGGAAACAAATAATCACAATAACCCATGGCTTGTTCTGCTCACAATGGGCTGCCATGTTGTCAGAACCCAGACAACCCCATCCTGGTCATGGGTAACTGGCTAGCAAGCGCCACAGCGAGTGCAGCATAACACCCTTTCTGATCTTGCCATGTGGATCTTAGGGGAGCACCCCCTCACTTGGAGGGCAGATGGCACAGGTTCCCCATCCCCACTGCAACTTCAAGCCATTCTGGGCTGCCTGCAGCTTTTTTGCTTTTTGCACTTTTTTCAGAGATTGGTCAAGCCAGCAGTTAAGATGTACTCAGAGGACTGTCCTGATCCAAACTCACCCAATTCTCAAAATTTGCTTCCCCGTGGATCTTCTGCACTTTGCTACCTGAGACAAAGGACAAGGTGGCATTATCCCAACCCCCACTGATCTATTCCATGCCCACACTGACTGGACTGGTAAGTGAACCATATTTTGACCCTGGGAGCAGGGAGCAAGGCAAGGTCCTTCATCACTCCTGACTCGCTCCTGGAGGCATCACACAAGGCTGTGTGACACAGCCACCCCTGTCCTCCAAGAAAGGGGTGCCCAGGGAGCTCAGGTGGAACAGCTAAGGGTCTGCTACTGCTGCCACCCGAGACATCTTCCTCTTCCTGCCTTTCTGTGAGGCCAGCCACTTAATCCTCTGGCTGTGCCATTTCCTCATGAGGAGAGAGTTTTTTCCATGGCAGTAGCCTCTTTGTAAAACCCTCCGCTCCAACCTGGTGTCTTCCCAGCATGCCACAATCAGCCCAGCAATTTGATAGGCATCAGGATGGGGAAGGCTGGATTTGATCACCGTCCTCACCATCTCTGTGATACTTGCATTTGAAGAATTTTCTTTTTAAATCAGACTTTGATCCTGTCTCTGTATTTACTGTTAATCCTGTTCACCTAGTTCCCCCCTTGAATGTTTCTCTTAAGAATTGCTCTAATTAGTGCTATAACTTTAAATAATCTAACTGAGAGTGGTATTCTGTTTAGTTTTAATGGCAACATTTTATATTTTCCAGTTTAAAATATTTTAACTGGAGACATCTTGTGTTTTAGACTTTTATGCTGTGAATATGTCTTTTCAGATGGGATCAAGAAGCTTTCAAGCTGACTAAACATACACATCATATCTGGGTTGTGTTTTCATACTTTTTGTGAGTTTGAGCACCTCCTTTGGAAGGATATACAACCTTTCATAAAAGCATAAATATATACAATTGTTCTAGAGTAAGAACTGGAGCAACATGTTTGCATAAACATTTTTAGCTAATTCACATGGAGCATCCACTTCTAGTCACTAGCCAAGTACTTTTATTTTCATCCAGAACTACACTGTCCATGTGCCATCTGGACCATTCCTTGCAATGGGTTCAAAATGCACAGACTTGTCTAAGGAGAGGCTTAGTCAAAAGGGGGGTGAGTGGTCCTTATCTGACTGCTTTCAGGTGCCCTTCTTCAAGACATAATGCAGCCCTCCCCAACTTGGTGCCCTCCAGATGTTCCACAGCACAGCTGCTGGCATTACTGCCCATTGGCCATGCTGGCTGCAGCAGATGGGAACTGAAGACCAAAATTAACCAGAGGGCACCAGGCTGGGGAAAGCTGGCAGAACATGTTAAAGCATAAGCATTTAAGACAACACGCAAAGTCCTGCTGAATCTAAGCCAAGGGTCCACCTAGTCCTGCATCCTGTTCCTGACAAGGGCCAGCAAGATGCCCACAAGCAGTCTAGAAAGAACACACATCTGAAGCAGAGGTGCAGCTTAGTTATCTTGCCTATTAGCCACTGGCATTTTCTCTGTGATTTCTTCTGTATCTTTTAAAAAGCAGCATCTAACTGCATGTTGGATTCAATACATGTGTGTAGCTGTTCCTCATTTCCCAGGCCACAGTGGACTGATCTGGACCACCATGAATTCACTGGGGAGGTTTAAACCTTGCTGGTCACTTGGCTCTGCCCTATATTCTTCCTACTCAGAAACTAAAAAGAGAGAAAGAAAACTCCATTGACACAAAGTGGAAGATTTTTCTTTTGTTTCACTAGCAATTTTTTCCCAGCCTCTTTAGTATTCATTCCCAATATTGAGCAGACCTGCTCCTGAACACTGAGCTGAGGCTTTTCAAGTCAGCCTTTGACCAAAATCCTCAAATCTTTTTTCCACTATTTTTTTTTGTTTTATTTTGTTTCTACATTAACGCATCACCAATTTCCACTTTCACTGGAAACCTTGCATGGTTGTACTTTCCCCCATTCCTGCCTCTCCAGTAAGGCAAGCTTCATGTTTCCAGTTCTCAGCTCTTTCTACGCTTCTTTCACCTTTAAGAGTATTCCTCCAAGTCAGTTTGCCAGCCCTGTCTGTATACACATCGCTTCTCATTCCTTTTCAAATACTACTGCCATGATCTGTCTTGTGACAAGAAGAGAAACAAAAAATAGAGCACCTTAAAATACTCCCATTTCTTTCTCTCCAGACACAAGGACTTTGATGGGGAAATTTGACTGAACATTTAAAATATTACCAATAAATCCATATGCAAAATATTGTTTTATCAAACAAACAAGGAGACAACATGCTACAAAAAAAACTTGCAAGCATGCCAACAATCTCAGAAAGAACTCTCCAGGCCTTTATGACTTCCCTAAATTGAACAGTTTATTTTTTAATCCCTTTAACTATATCTCTCTTGCCAACTACAGTGACAATAATTTTCATCTACACTTTTACATGCTGCAACATAATCTTAACCTCTAAATTGTAAATCTACTGAACATGTGCCAAAAAAATTACAAAGCATTTAATTAATGAACCTGTAAGTCTACAGGTATTATAAAAGTGTTTCCATAAGGCTGACTCATTTAAAAAGTTTGCGGCTTTATTCTGTTGCCTGTTTTGTGTCTTCTGTGTGCTACCTCTTACAGGTGGCTTTGTTTGTGGGGACAGACAACCAAACACAGAATACATTCCATTAGTTACAACTGCTATACTCCACACCCATGTGATCTCTTGGGCTTTTACTGGTTATTTTTATCTGCTGTTTTTCAGCTTTCTCTTGTTTAGTCAGAACTGCATTTATTGTATTGCTGTCTTTCATTGCTATTTTACTATTGTAACCATCCTTGAGGTCAGTTTATGACAGAAGACACTTCTATTTAAAAGTAAATAAAATTAGAATGCTACAGCTTCTCAGAATCTAAATGTAATTATTATTAAATTGCATTTAGACTCCACTTTTCTTCCACTTGCAAGGAACCCAAAATGGGTTACAAGCATCTCCTCCTCTCTGCTTTTTCCTTCCAACAACAGCCTTGTGAGGAAGGTTAGGCTAAGAGTGCATGCCTAGCTCAAAGTCTCCCAGTGAACTTCATGGCCGAGTCGGCACTAGCGCCCAGATCTCCTGAATCCCAGCCCAACATTTTAATCCCTATGCCACGCTGGCTTTCAGTGATAGCCATGAAGGGACTGAGGGACCACCTTGCACATATTTTAAAAGGGAATGCTAAGCTTTATCCACACAATTTGACCTTCATAACTAATGCAATCTGCACAGGTTTTGCACTCCCACCTCTGTAGCCAATATATGTCAAGCCACAGCCCTGAGTTAATGAGCACAACATACAAGTGTCTCCCCACAAACTCCCATACTTGATTTGCAACCCCTCCCACCCCAGCAAAGTCCATATAGCACAATCCATTCTTGCCCACCCCACACATGAATCACTCATCCTCACAGAGGTCTACTTGCCACATTCCTGGGCAAGAAACACTTTCCCAGGAGGGCTTCCTATCTTCCCCATGCTGTTGTCCCCTCCCAGATGTCTTGGTCTGCAGTTCTCCTCATTCACAGCCATGCTGGCTGAGAATGATGGGGGTTGCAGTCCAACACACCTGGAGGGCACCAGGTTAAGGAAGGGTGGAATAAACAGGACGGCCAAAGCAGCAATTTTGAGATGCAGATAGCCGCCTCCTCCGAGGAAAAGTCATTGTGCCACAGTTCTATATTGAGCTATTCAGTTGCGCACACACAATACAGAAATGAAATCAAGTGATCCACTTGGCAAGAGGCAAGCCCAACATAGTGACTCATACAGAGAGGCAACAGGCCACCTCCTCTGCAGAAGCTACTTCTTTGCATAGAAGCAATTGGATCATTCAGTTACACCCAAAACAAGGAAGGCACAGAATTACCCTGTCACCCTTCCAGCCTGGAAGGAGGCAATGACTCAAATACACAGAAAAGGAAGGCGCCTCCCCCTTCCAGCTTACAGGAGTCTTTAATTATTTAAGTTACTCCTCACAGCTCCTTGATGAATAACAGGTTGTGCTTGAGGACCTGGTGAAAATGCTAGCCTTTGCCAGGTGTTGCTCTTCTTGTGCCAGTGTTTCAAGGTAACTAGAAGAGGTTGTCATTCTAGGAAATCACTATTCTAAAGAAGTTTGTGTGTTTTTTATGCATTTATTTTGCCCAACAGCCTAGACTAACTGATACATGACAGACGAAAATGCACCCTTCTTAGGAAGACCTAACGGTGAATGGTCTTGGGGGATTGAAAAACAAAATGGTCTGGGACTCACTGGCCTGATCCTCAAATTATTGGGACATCATAACCACCACCCCCCCATAAAAAGTTCCTTGTGGCCAATTACAAGCTCTGTGGGTAATCAATTTGTTCCAGCAGACATTATTCAACTCTTTTCAATCTAGAAGGGATTTTTTTAACTGCAGTAATTTTCAGGCACCACTGGATTGCCAGCTGTGTCTTATGCAGATGCCACAGGTGAGACATGCATAAAATCCAGCATGAAATCCAGTATAACGTGCTTTACAGCACCAGTGCAGACAAGCCCTAAGTCAGACAAGCACAAAAAGGTACCAAAGCAAAGCAGCAAGCTATTGCTATACCAAGCCTAGAACGTAACTTCTTTCTACATAGATGTACACAAACCTTGGAGGCGTATAGAATTTTATGTCGGGTAGGATGGAAAAGGAATTGTTTGCAAGGCACACTGAACCAAATACTACTACTACATACACTAATCTGCTTGGACTAGGCAGCTGAGTTACTTCTAGATGCATATTTTTAGATTATCTTTTTTGCTAGACGGGATTCACTAATGTAAACGCAAATCAGGCGGCAGGCTACACTAGAACTTTTCACGAGACGTAATGGAAACGTGGATTATTCTGTTTGCGTTATACACACACAGTAGACTTGGGTGCAAATATGAAATACCACTCTACCACTGCTCCTCTCCCCGAATACACTTTCCGAGGGCAAACTTTATTCAAAGAACACCTTTTCCCGAAGCTCCACCTTCTACAGCGTGCCATCTGGTAAGCTCACCGCCTCCGTTCGCGCGTGGCAAGCAGAGCTTTGAGGCAGCTATTTAGCCGCGCCACAGGCAGATATTCCACAGGTGAGCCTTCCTCCCACTCAGTGCCTCGGCACAGCAAGGCGGCGGCACCGGGTGAATTTCGGCTTTATTAAAAGCCAAACAAGCGCGGCCAGTGAGAAGTCAGCAAACCACCTGCTGGGTAAATCTTGCAGTGATGCGAAGAGCGAGAGAAGCCGAGCTCGGTGTCCCCGCAGCCCCGCGGGGAAGCGGAGCCCCAGGCAGCAGCCTTACCTGTCACTGCGTCGCGCGGAGAGTTGCCGGGGCGGCCCCTGGCCGGAGCTCTCCGCCGGCACCGAGAGGGAGCCGCGGAGCGCGCCCTCGGGGGTTCTGCCCGCCCGGCTCCGTCGCGGCGGCTGAGTTCCCGAGGGGAGGAGCCGGGCACTGCCTGCCCGCCCGCCCAGTCAGACTTGTTGCTCCTGAGCTCTGGCAGGGCCGCCTCGAGCGGCGCGGGAGTGGCCGAGCGGGCTCCGCTCGCTTTCTGGAGGCTGGAACACCCGCCCGCGGAGCGCGCGCTTGCGGGAGGCCGCGCCGCAGCGCCCTCTAGCGGACGGCTTTCTGCAGCGCGCCGCCGCCGCGGAACGGCTCGACGTGAGGAGTTAAGGAGTCTAGCTCACTGTACGCATTCGCCGTGTGGCGGACTACAGCCCCGGCTTGCAAAGAGGTTGGTTTGTGGTGGGGCAGTTTGGTCATTTTGGCTTAATACGCTGAAGAGGTTCCCCTTCCGACAGATAGAAGGGGAGCAGCCCCATATGCTACGCCAGCACGTCAGTGGCCCTAGGATAGCCGATGGATTCTCATTCTCAGATGCGTGTTTGGCTGCACTCCGGCCCCAGCCCCCGCGTAGGCACAGAAAGGGCGTGGGGGAACGGAGAGGAGGAGGCCAGGCTAGTGGTTATCCTGAGGTCTCCCCCGTCTCTTTCCCTCTCCCTCTGAAATGCCATCATTAAATGCTCGAGGACCAATCACTTGGGAGAAAAATGCAACAAAATCTTCTACTGGCAGGTATACATGCATGCATGCATGGCACACAGAACAGTGACCTATAACAAATTAATTCTGCCCAAGTTTTTGTGTACTGTCACCCTTTCCATTAGATGGATGGAGTGCTATCAAGAGTTGCTCTCATATATAGATAGAAAACCCATGCAAACAGGGCAGGGAATTGTGAACAGTGAGGCCAGAAGGGCATTAAATGCAGAACATGCTGACAGGCGGGTGGAGGCGAGGAACCTAATTGTGCTTATTCTCTGTCAAAGGACAGGCAACTGATTTACCCAATGTCTTCCTAATAGATGAGAATGCAGTCATCAGACATGACCATCTACAGTTTTTACTTGGTTTCCTAAATGTTTTGTAGGAGGTGGTTGGGCATTAAAATAACCCTGTCAATTGGTTAAGTGTTATTTACCTGTCTTTTGACAAATAAGTCAATTATATTCATATTACCAAACAAAAGGCCTGTCTTTTCAGTCTTGAAGGAACTGTGAGAACTTACAAATGGACAGCCTCATCAATAGAAAATAGTGTCTTTTGTTTCCATTAAGCTGTTATAGAAGCACATGGGAGCCTAAATAGCTTGTCTGTGACAGCTATTAGTTCTCATGCCACCAATCAAAATTGCTCCCTACAGAAAAAGCAATAGAGGTAACAGTTCTGAAGAGGGAACCAATTAAAGTTTGCAGCCCTACCAGAAGAGAAAAAAGGCCTTGTGAAAAATTAAGTTTCTAAAAACACGATTCAGTGCAGGAAACCTTCTAGCTAAGTCTTAAATGACTGACTACTCTGTAACTGTCTTTAAGCAGTATGTAGCACTAACATAGCTGGTCCGAATAAAAGCATAGCAAGCCAGTCAACTATACACTCCGGAGGCTTTCCCGGTCCCCCCAGAGGGATCTTGCATTTCTGATCTTTCACTGAAACTGCTTGGGTTGTATTTCATGACTATGTTTGTGCCTCTGTGCTGTGTGGAGAAGGCAGGGAGAAGGAAACTGTATCACCTCTAAGCTGCCTGACCTTTCTTCACGTGCTTTAATGCAGGCTTACCTTTTGCAAAGAACCTAAGAGCAAGTTAAAGGTCCTCTTTGAAAAGAGTATTATGTCAGGAGGCCCAGGACTAGAGACTTCTCTGGAGGTTACAACATTGTACAGGAGATAGGAATGACTCACCTTGAAATGGAACTGAGTCATGTATTAAATTACTGGCACCAGAAGACAAAGTTTCATACTTACCTGTGGGTATTCTGTTACTGCAAAGAAGGCTTGTACCTATAAATGTGTGAATTCAGACTTCAGCTTGAGCAAGGGCAGTAACAAAGATGCAAATTCCCTTAGCATAGGGAGCTCCCATCGCTAAGAGCCGAGTTAGATGCTCATGTACTGAGTGGTGACATAGCAACTTTCCATTTTTTTTAATGACCATACCTAAAATAGGTGGAGAAAAAAATCTCCTTCGTGATCAGGTAACAGGACAGAATTTCTGTTCTGCCAGTATATGTATAGAAGGGAAAGTCACAAATGCAGCTATCACTGTATAGCTTTACAAGGGTAAAAGCAGTAGCTTTCCAAAATTTTCTCTTCTCCCATTTATTAAAGCCTTACTTTCTAGGGGTCCTCACAGTATAAATGTCTTCAGCGCTCTTTAAAAAAAGATGGCCCTTGATTAACATTTGCAGCAAGGCCTCAAAATACTTATGGCAATGTTCTAGGTTTACCTACCTAATTTGTTAATTTTCAAAACTTTAAAGAACAAGATCCTCCAGTCAGTAAACTAAGGAGAAATTCTTATTTATTTGGAGCGACATGGGAGCCACTGTTCCTTGATGCCCAGATTGCTAATGGATCTGGATCAATTTTTTAAATTCCCTCCCATGTGAAAGTTACCAGACCCTAGATTCATAGAAGCAGCACTCACATCACTGTTCATTTCTTCTTACACCTTCCCAAAACAGCATGGGATCCAGATCCAGGGCTGCCCACATCACTGTAGGCAGTGTAAATTCACTTGGAAATAGCAGTGCCACTTCCAGAATTGTAAAAGTACAGGTAAGCGATTAATCTGTGAATAACGTCACAGCTACTTAAATGTAGATTGCAAGTCAAAATGGCAGAATGGAATCAGTGTCAGTATAGAAACAGCTCTATTTTGTGCTTGCAAAGTAAGAGATTACTGGGATGGTGTGGGTGCTCCATCAATCTGCACACATAGACAAGAGGCATTCATTAAGAGGCTACTCGGGAGGGCATAACTGAAGTCTGCTTTTCTATAAATCTTTTCTGAATAGGAGTAGAGAAGCCTATGCTAAGTTTCTTCAAGTCCTCTTCTTGTCTGTGTTCTAGCAAAAAAAGAACAGTAACTCCCTCTGTAACAAATAGCATTGTTGAGAGGCGCAGAATGGAACCTACTCTGATAATATTCACATAGGCAAGCAGCTCGGGGAGAGTCAGCACTGCTTTTACCTCTGTACTGAAAGAAAAAACTTACAGCAAAAGATGGAGATGATAGACAAGCCCATTTGTAGTCTGGTAAACTGAAGTAACTGTTCAAACATAGCTGGTGTTACACAGTCAGGAATGCAAGAAAGGCTTGAATAAAAAGCACTTAAAACTTAGCAAAAACACAGCTACACCTTAGCTTGTTACCTAGGTACTCATTCCTTTTAGCCAATAGTTCTGTGTCTATACATTATAGAGATTTTGGCAAGTAGTAAAAGCAAATATTCCTTCTATATACTGAGCAGATTGAATAGTATTTTGCTTAAGCCACTAATGTATATTGGAAAGGAAGTTCACAGTTTTAACCAACTTTCCATCTTTTAAGAGTTATACTTTCCTACTCCTGCCTTCACAACTCTCCAGTCTGAAGCTTCTCACATACGTGGCAATTAGAAACATGCTGATCAGCCATTAACCAATCCTGACAACCTTGTACAAGACTGATTTGTCACTTAGATGAGAAATTACTGAATAATTATGATCTTCAGCTGACACTGTTCCTGTTTGTATCATGTGATGGGGGTGTAGGGAGAAATACAGCAGCTAATTCAATGTTCAACCAAGTCTCTCAACAATTATTTTAATCAACTGAGATAAGAAAGGATGTTGCCCAAGTATATGCTGATACTAAATGCTTAGCCCTAGCATTTCAAGTTATTGTCTAGACAGAATTGTATTCAGCAAAAGCATCTTTAAATGCTATTAAGTACAAAAACTAATGGGGTGTGGTGGCTTAGTGGGTAAGACGCCAAGCTTGCCAACCAGAAGGTCAGCAGTTCAAATCCCTAGTGCCCCATTACAGTGTGAGTTCCCGTTACTTGCCCCAGCTCCTGTCAACTTAGCAGTTCAGAAGCATGCAAATGCAAGTAGATAAATAGGTACCACTTTTGTGGGAAGGTAGCAGCATCCCATGCTCAAAAAGCCTCTTGTCATGCTGGCCACATGACCACAGAAGTGTCTTTGGACAATCCTGGCTCTTTGGCTTGAAATGGAGATGAGCACGGCCCCTAGAGCTGGGCAGGGAGAACCCTTACATTACAAAAATTAAAGTTTGCTTATATAGCAAGGTTTTGTTGAAAAGTTCAGAATGCAACAAATGACCACACACCTTATTTTTCCATATGAAGGCAGGCTCCTTACCAAACATAGTTACGCATGATATGAAAATCAATATGATTTAGTTTAATGGAATTATGATATTTATATTTGAATAAAAAAATAACCAGCTCTTCAAGAAAACTGCAAGAATGATAATGGCTTGAATTGTCCATATGCAATCATAAAAATCAAGAGCACAGTGGATCTTTATAAGTAAGTCCAATGTTATACAATACCAGCAGAACTATTTTAACAGTTAAATAGCTTTCTAATAGTAAAAACTCTGGCAGCAATAAAGGTTTCCTGGGAGAACTTTGTTGTCCAATTATGAAGAGTTTGGATTCTTCAAAAGGGTATTGTGGATGCTTTCCTGTTCCAAAGCAATCATTTTGGAAACAGATGCATCAGTTAACACATTTGGTTAAAAGAGTCAAAGGCTAATTTCTGGTGAAATTGTACAATATTGGAACATATCCCAGTGCTTTCTATAAATTATGTTTGTTCTCATCCATAGCAGCAGGCCTTTTTCTTGTCATGGTAGCAAACAGCGCGTCCATCATCCCCAAGACTTCTAATAATTCCTCTTGGTAATCAATCTCTTTTTCTATGAGGTTTTGAAGTTTCAGAAATTGCTTATCAATAATGGGTGACTGTCCAATTACAGGCATGTAGATATCTGGCAAAGAAAAGTCAGGTTAATAGAACATCTGCACTTAATGGGGTTTAACATATAAGTATATAAATAATTTCTACCTGCATTTTTTCAGAGCAATCCTATATGATTTATGAATGGGAGATCTGCTGCATATCTGACACACAGAGGAAGCCAAGGCAGGATATGGGGGGCCTGGTTTTCACCAGCTTTTCTCAGGTAGATAATGGGAAACTGGTGTGCTCAAAGGACAGATTGAACTATCAGTCAGGGTATCTCTAATGTGAGCATCCTTTCTGCCATGAGCTCATCTGCTGATCTTAGCAAAGCCACACTCGGCTCCCTGCCCTTCCAGTTTGCAACAGACCGTTAATAATTAACCAATGAACAGGACTGTTGTAAGGATAACAAGATACCAGGCTGGTATGGACAACACATGAAACCATAGTTTGGTATTACAAGAATGAGCAACAGCAAGTCTTGGAAACCACAGGCCCGGCAAGCCAACTAGAAGGAGCTTGGAAACTTCTGCTGCTATTTTAGATAAAACGCAGCTTGCCAAAGAATCTAAACCAGCGGTCCTCAAACTTTTTCAATAGGGAACCAGTTGAAAGGCTGCAGTGACCGTCGCGGGCTGGTGAGGTGGGGGTGCCTGGGGGCGCAGGGCAGTGAGGTGCCATCAGGCGCGCACGAGGCAGCATCGGCTGCACGCAGCAGTGACTCGCTCGGAGATCTCCCAGCGAGTCCAAAACCATCTGCGAGCAAGCAAGCAAGCAAGCCACCACCTCCCCACCTGTGCTGCGAGGGAGCAGCGAGTGCGCGCGTATGGGAGGCAGGGGGCAGTGGCTTGCTCGCTCAGAGACCATCTCCGAGTGAGCAAGCCACCGCCTCCCCATCCACACAGCAAGTGTGTGCAGCGAGCGGCGGCGTGGGCTGGATGGATGGCCAAGGTGGGCCAGATTCATCCCACAAGCCATAGTTTGAGGACCCATGATCTAAACCCTTCAAGACCACGTCCTTAAAATGGACTGGTTTTGATGGGAGGATAGCCAGCATAGTAATTTCTCAAGTTGCATACAATGGGAAAGTCACTGGACATACCAAAATGCAGCCAGTCCAAAGAAAAGGCTGTTTTAACAGTTTTAGATACCCTTCTTTGTAAATGGCACGAACAAAGAGTGAGTGGGTTACTGGACTTTATTACTGTGTTGAATCTTAGAACTTACCTATAATAATTTCTGCAACATTTATCAGCACGGGAGCAAATCTTGCATCAGTAACATGCCTGTGAATTAAGTTGATAGCCTGTTAATATTCATATACAAAGTCAGGAATTCTTATTTTTATGACTTACTAGAAACTCTGTCCTCCACCACATGGAGAAACCGGCCAAGGAAACTGGTGTGATGCAAATGAGAAGTGGAAGGAAAATACTGGCTACAAAAAATCCAATGACTGATCAAAACATTTTCTTTCCCCTCTTCATTTCCATAAAGAACAAACAGGACATACTGTACCCTATGTTTCAGAAAAATGAAAATTATGCTGCACATATGAGTATGTCTGTATCAAGATCAAATATATGGAACAGTTGTAGCTAGTCTGAGCAATTTGAAGACTGAGAATCTTGAAAGTATAGTTGAAATATGATATAGAAAAAGTAAAGGAAAGCCAAACTTTTAGACAAAGGGTTTGTCTGCAATTAACATGTATGCTTCTTAAAAATAAGAACTGATGCAAAGATCCACCACTTGTACAAGTGGAGGATGATACACAGAACAAACAAGTGAGTAAATGGGAAAAACAGCCTTGGTTGTTCTCACTCTTCCCCACTCCCTTTCTTGCAATGCAGTTACAGGAATAAATGCATTCTTACATTAAAAAGGCAGGAATATAGTAGGCAAGTTTGGGTAAGTATCTATATTATATTGTATCTATTACAGCTTTCCTCCTGTAAGGAAAGGGAAAGTGTCAGCTTGTTTTGGAGAAAAACCTCATGCAGAGGAAGGCTGGAGTTTTGGGAAAAGAGTTGGGATACAAAGAAGCTTGGAGACTGGGAGTGCATCATGTACGTAGAGCAACAGACTATGGCATGAATCTAAAAGGATGGCTGGAGAATTAGGCCTGAGGAAGAGTGCAGATGAAACTGGGATCTGAAGCAAGAATGGGCTCACTGAGGCGTGCTGTGAAAGACGCACCGGCAGGCAAAATCAGGAAGGGCTGTGCATTATGGATGCAGGTAAGGGAGCCAGAAAAGAAACTGGCCTGAAAGCACCAATGTCTGAAGAACAAAAACAGGCCGTGCCTGAACCATGACCTGGTTTACAGATTCAAATAAGCTATGCTATGTTAATTCACCTGCTGGGGTCTGAGATATGCACAAGCCAGCACTTTGAATGTGCAAGCTGTGGCAGGGAATGTGTTGTACAAGCCCAGGAATCATGGGTTATCTGAGAGCTAAACCACCTTCAGATAACCTTACAACTTCTCATGCAAATATAGAAGTAATATTTCTACCAATATTAGGATTCTTAAGACCATCTAACCACAATTTTCACATTCTGTTCTTTCTTCATTTCCCTTGGACATGACAGAACTTGACAGGAAGGTCTAAACTTCCAAAAAATCTTGATTTTAAGGATAGAATGTATTGGGCAATTTCTTCCATTTCATGCCAAAACATTTTGGGCCAGCCCAAAGTTTACAGGACTGGCAACTACCTTATCAAGAAAGAAAGGAGCACATTTAGTTGTTTCTCATTTCGTCCTGCCAGTGCATTTTTCAATGTTCCTCTACGGTTTAATTCTTGCATGACAGCAACGGTAACTTCAGGTGGGTTCTTTCTTGCAGGAGCCTAAAAACACAAAACATTTATCATTACACCTTGCAGCAAAATCAGCATGTGCTTTTAAGCAGTTCAAGTATCTTTCTGCTCTGCAAAGAAGTAGCTGATCACTCAGAATCTTAACTATTCCCAGGGAAGCTTGCTGAGTGCTTAATTTCCTGGTTTTGGGACATTTAGTCTTTTGAGATCTTACATGTTAACAAGCTGCTCAAAGGATGTCAAATAAAGAACCCTGTAACTGCCTTCTGCAACCGGAAGCCCTCCAGATGCTTTGAACCATTCCCAAAATCACTGACCACTGGCCATGCTGGTTGGGGCTGAAGAAAGTCTGAAGTGCAAAGTATCTGCAAGGCATCAGGATAGAGAAAACCATCCTGTAACTTGGAGCTTTGTCCCAAGCAAAATAAGTTGCTCTTTCTGCCCATTATTCCCAAACCTAAGGAAGGTAGGAAACTGTGTAGATGTAGGCCAGATCTGGGAACAGCAGTTTGCAGTTACTGCTGAACCAATCATTACAATTATATATTTCTTCATACAAAAATCAAAATAAAACAAGGCATGTCTTATCAAATACAAAAAGGCATGTGAAGTGTATTTTTAGCTCTACTGTGCCTTGAAATGCACATGCAGGTACCAAACAGCACGACTGTTTGTTACCTTAGGAAGGTGAGAGGGATGTAAGGGGTCACAACTCCTTAGGGAGGTGAGAGGGATGGCTGCTAGGAAGAGGGCCTTTTCTGCACCTGCTCCCCATATTTAAAATGCTCTCCCCAAGGAGATTCACCTGGTACCTTCCTGATATTCTTTTCAGCACCAGGCAAAGACCTTCCTCTTAAAAAAAAACTAATAGTTAATGCCACTCAACCTTCTCTTTTGTATTTTTATCTGTATTTTATTAACATTGTATTTTTAATATGCTGTAATTGGTTTTTTTGTGTTTTGGCACAATTGGGCGGCATACAAATGTTTTAAATAGATAAAATAATAAATAAACTGTAAATTGATTGCAGCTAAGTAGTGGGAACCATGATTTGCAAGGAAAATGTTCCAGGTTCAATCCCAGATATCTCCAGCTACAGTTGAGAGAGACTTGTGCCTGAAAGTCCCTCTCATGCCTTAGAGCTCCCCTAGCCGACACCGACCCCAGTCAGTACAGATGTACTTTTCCCGTCCTGATGCCTCCGGATACACTGGACTGCAATTCCTAGCATGCCCCAGCCAGCACACTGACTGGTAACAGCTGGACTGCAGTTGAACTCATCTGAAGAGTATCAGTGGGGAAAGATGGTATAGGCAATACTAAGCAAGACAGAACATAGGTGTGATTTAGCATAACTCAGTCTTATAAACTGTGATGGGATAAAGAAAAAGTAGGATAGAAATTCTGAAATAAATACAAGCTAGCAGTCCATTTGACCTATAGGCCCTTAGAGCCCACAGGATAGGGATGGATGGCTTTCCTCAATATTTTCATAGCATTTTAATGGTGTTTCCCACTTCTAGCAGAAGCAGCTACCTGGCACATGATGCACAGAAAACCTGTGTTTTCAGGTTTGTAGCAGTTTCAGTAGAGATAAGGATAATCTAGGAGATGAACATCTTACTTGAAGTACTGCATCCAGAGCCTTGGAAACCTCAAAACGTTTTAGAAGCATGTCATATTTCTTCAAATGATTCTTTACTGGCTTACTGACAAAGAAATCTTCCTTAAAAAAGAGAGGGGAAGAGACAATCCATAATAAAAACTGCAACAGTAGTCTATGACCATATATACAATGTTCACGTCAAGGTTTTGCACTTTCACATAACACAAAGAAAATATTGGATCCTAGGAGCATCACTTGATTAAGAACGCTTTAGGCTGAAATTTAAAAGAGTTTCACTAGCAAGTAAGGCTAAAATCCTATGCACATTTACATGGGAGTAAGCCCCAGTTAACTCAGTGTGCCTTTTTCTGGGTAGATGTTGCCTAGTATTGCACTGGAAGTACCACCAAGTTTGGTGGATGGGGTTTTGAATAGATATATTTAGAGTTGAGCTGCAGGTCAATTAATCATAGGACTTTCAATGGGTTATATTTGCATAACAGTAAAACAGTTGTAGTGGGGAACTTGATGAAATGTTAACCTAGAATGTATGAACAGTGAATGAGGCAAATTCTGTGTTGGAAATCATTAGGAAAAGAAAAAAAAATAAAATGATCATTATCATAATACCTTCATACAAACTAACAGTATGACCACACATGGAATAATCTAATATACTATGTACAACTCTAGTCACTAGTTTTGAAAGAGAATATTGAAGAGCTGGCAGAGTGGCAGAAAAGGATAACCAAGTGATCAAGGAGCTTGAGAAACTTTCCTATGAGGTAAAGTTACCACATCTGGCATGAATTAACTTTGAAAAAGAGCGTATAAGGAGTATGTGACAGACGATGTGAAGGAAGAGAATAAGGGGAGGTTTTTCTTCTTTTCCTATAGTACTAGAAACCCTTGGACTAAAAACAATTGAACCTGTACTGCAAGAGAGTGAGAACAGATGAAAGGAAGTACTTCTCACACATACTTAAACTATGGAATTCACTATCAGAAGTTGCAATGATGGCCACCACCTTGGATGGCTTCAGGAAGAGATTAAGACAAAATCATGGAGGATAAAATTATCAGTGTCTACTAATATAATGTTATATGATGCCTCCAAGAACAGAGGCAACATGCTGCTGTTTATGAGTTCCTTTGAATGCAGAACATGACTGGGATGCTGCTGCTGCTGCGCTTATGCAACCTGGGCAAACTGCACTGAGTAAAAAGAATTTAAGAGGAAATTAGTTGGACTGCAACTTTTAATCAAACAGATGGCATGGGCACTTGCTAGCAGAAAAAAGGACTAGTTCCGTGCATCCTTTTCTGCATACCTGCTTTGGCATGTAGTTTCTTCCTTTCACAAAGGTCCTATATGCAGGTCCCCTCCTCTGAAGATGCTCTTTCTCTCCCTCATGCTTCCGATGTTTAACATTCAGGATTCCATTAGTCATTCCTACTACCAGTGTTTCATCTTCAGGCTGAAAGGGAGACAAAGCAGGTTTTTATCACTGCAATCTCTAGTTCAGAGATCTCTGACAATACTCTTTCAGTTTTATGGGAGAATGGTTGCACAGATAAACTGGCTTCTAATGCTCTGCTCTGAACAGAGGACAACCATGAACAATCTGTGTGCTAAACAGTCCAAAAAGGAAAGATTGTGATGGAATTAAAGCCTACCCCATACTGCCTGATGTAATAAAGTTAAGTTCAACCTGTTTTTCTAGCTAAGTAGTGCAATCTTATGCATGTTATTAGGAAGTCTTGTTGGGTTCACTGGAGTTAACTGCCTTGTAAGCATACCTAGAACTGTGCTGTCCAAAGCATGAGGAAATTAGATAATCAATATGAGAGTCAGCAGCCTTGGCTTTCTAAGTTCAGTGAGTCACACCTTATTTACAATTAAAGTAAACTAACTCCTGCTAAAAATTCCAAATGCAAAAAAGAGCCAGTTAATAAACATAGAAGGTACATTCGTAATAGATCACTTGCTTTTTTCATACCTGTGTTGCAAACACCAAGCTAGTTAAAATAGTTCCGAGTAAGGAAACTTAAATGTTGGAACTAAGAACCTCTGCCTCCTGGCCAGGTGCAGCCCCAGGAGCCGGGAGATTCCCCACTCAGCCACATGCTTCTTTTGCCATTATCTGTGACTGGGGATTTAGAGGACATTAATCTTTAAACTCCCTGTAAAGATTCAAGCAACTTCATGCATTTATTTTGCAGGCAGGAGGCCTGGCTATCTGTAAGTAAACATGTAGAGACTTGGTATTTGGGATGCTACCTGAAAGTGCTGCTGAGCAAGTCAGCATTGCTTGCTTCTAAAAACGCGTACAGAACCTCATGCAGCTTAGCTCTGTACATGTGTATTATCTCAAGGGCAACATTCCCAACAGGCCCCGCTCCATCTTCGATCCCACCCACAGGTAGAACGTTGCCCTCCCCCACTGCAGACCCATCCTGCTTTGCAGTCTGCCCCTTCATGTGGATAACCTTTTCCAGCTTGACAGCTGAATGCAATTTCAGAGAAGCACCCAGGAGCGGCATTCCAGTGGTGGGAAGGCCAACAGGAGTAAAAATACTACCTTACTGTACCTTAAAGTTTATACTGCAAGCAAGTAAGTCTCAGAAGAGACTTACAAGGAAACAAACCGTGCAAAAGTTAGGAACACTTGGTGGTTGATGGAAAAGGAGAATGGCCATCTTGATCCCCAGCAGAGCTGGAATGAAACCTTGGACCAGAAGGTCCTTATTGATACACCCTAAATGAAGTATCAATATATTAAATGGGGTGCAGCTAAGCTGAATTTTGCTATGGCAGACCCCACCAAATGGAAATAATGGAAATCTCAAATGGAAATAACAACAGAAACAGTCTACGAAAAACACATCATGGATAATTCTGTAACTACTTGTAAAGCAAGGTCAGAGAAGCATGCCGCATCCACTGAGCGCTGCATCTGCACAAGTGCCTTTCATTTCAACAAGATTGCATTTAGCTAATCTTTTTGCATCAAGCGGTATTTTGCAACTTAGAGAAGCAAGTGCTTTTCATAGGTAAATAGTTGCCTAGCAACCAAATCTTTGCTTATAGTACTTACTGCTTATAGTACTTACTGCTTACCAGAATCTTTGTTTATAGTACTTACTGCTAATGCAAGACTGAGAATTGATGCTTCATAGTTAAAGCTGTGAACGACCTTGTAGGAAGTTGTACTGTAAACCTTCACATGCCTACAGATAACAACAGATTGGGTTTTTAGTTGAGATCTGTACTTGCTGACCTAAGCTGCTGAAAGTTCATCACATGTTTTGGAAGTAAAAAGTGCTATCAAGGCAGGCCAAAGAGTGTAAAAGAGTTAGTGAAGATGTTTGCCATGTTAAAATGTGGTGTGGATTTAAGATTATCAGCAAGCAACCCTGCATTGTCCCTGCATTTTTTGGAGGAAACTGCAACTAACTAAAGTTTCCAAATTAAACAGGATTGCAATAAGAAACAACTTTTTGGCATAGAAATTTAAAATATGCAAGTGACCCAGGAAGGATTTATAGGTGGGACGACTCGAGATTAATAGAAACTGTGGAACATCTAACAGCCAAATAATTGAGAGCTCAAATGCATCTCCATTTTGCATAGAATCTGACAAGTCAGCCACCAAACAAGAATGTAGTAGGATACATAAGCCTTCAGGCCAACTGACTTGATAACAGACCTGTGCGGGGGGGGGGGGGGGGGGCGACCCAAAAACAGAGAGGATCCAGACTTTGCTCTTGCCAGTGAAGTACTCTATTATGAGTTCTAATAAGGTTTCTTCTGCCAAAGCCATTTTGGCCAGTGGAAAAGGCAAGTTTGCTGATTTCTCCACAAAGCTTCTAGCATCAGCTCCTATCTTTTTCCAGAGAATCCACCCATCTACAAAGCTGATGGTTGGGGAACAGTGAACAAGGGTTGAAGGATGGGGCAATCAGTTAATGTTGTCTTTGTAAAATGAATATCTGGATCCAAGGCATAGTCATAGAATCATAGAAGAGTTGGAAAGGGTCATGGAGGCTATTTGGCCCAATCCCCTGCCGTTGCTCAACACTAACCATCCCACTCAGATGACAGTTCAGTTTTGCCTTGAATGTCTCTAGAGCGGGACAGCCCACGACCTCTCTAGGCAACTGTTTCCACTGTCATATTGCTCTGACAGTGAAGAAGCTTTTCCTGATATGTAGCCTAAATCTGGGTTTTAGTAACTTGAGTTGATTATTCCATGTCCTACAGATACTAGTGAAGAGAGAGCCTGACCTTTCTCTTTCTAACAGCTTTATAGAGGGATATCATGTCCCCCCTCTTCTCAAGGCCGAACATGCCCAGTTCTCTCAGTCTCTCCTCACAGGGCAGTGTTTCCAAACCCTGGATCATTTTTGTTGCCCTTCACTGGACCCTTTCTAATTTTTCTGCATCTTTCTTTAATCTTGGTGCCCAGAACAGTATCCCAGAGTGAGATCTGAATAGTGAGGAGTATAGGGTAACTACTACTACTCATAATTTGGAAGTCATTTTTTTAGTTCTGTTGAGCCGTGTATTCCCATCTTGTATCAATGCATTTGGTTTCTTTTTGCTAGGTGGAGGGCTTGGCACTTGTCCTTACTGAATCTCATTCTGTTGCTTTCAGCCCAGTATTCAAGTTTAGCAAGATCACCCTGGATCATGATGTTCACCCAAACTCTTTGCTAAAAAACTTGCATAATGCTACAATCCTATATTCACTCACTTGGGAAGGATTCCTACTGAACTCAGTGGTACTTCTGAGGAAACATGTACAGGATACCAAAAATCATACACATGAAATACACATTTTATTTTTCTAATTCCATTTTTTCTAATCAAGTTGAAAGGGCAGGAAATATGTAGCATACTAAAATCCTACCCTCTGACCACCCGAACATTTTGTAAGGTTCTGGTCTTTTGAGATTCACAGGGAATTACTGTAGCCGTAAACCTACTCAATCTGCTTTTGGAAAAAGCCAAGAGAGGGAGGAAATGCCAACCAGCCAGTTCTGTGAACAGCAGTGCACACTGGCATAGTGCTCTGTGTCATGGAACTTTATGCCAGAGCTCATTGGCAAAGAGCACAAAAAATAGATGAAAAGCCAGGAAACAAAATGGTGAACTACAAACCTATCTAGTGAGCCAGAGAGCAGTCTTTGACCAGAGCTATTCAGACACAAACAGGTGACAGTTTTATGGTGATTTCTCAAGGACACTAGCAACTGTCCTCCTTTAAGGATGTCCCACACTTTCACGTATCGACCACCTGCAAGAGAAAGGACAAGCACTTTTTATTTGCACATAGATTTCTTCACAGAAAGTGGAATTTCAGAAGCAAGCTCAAATAGAGCCATTGATACTGTTCTGGATGTATAGTCAAAGTCAGTAGATAGGATTACTTTAAATCCCTTTCAAGTAGCAACAGTGGATCATGCAGAGTAGGAATGCCCTGTTGCTCACACTCTTGGGCATACCCCTGGATGGCCATATATTGGTATGGATATCACAAGTAACAAGCCTGCACACAGGCAGAAATGCATCCCCACTCTGCAATTTGCAATTTGTCAAAGGAGGCGGCTCATGTGTTCTTTATAGCTGGTTACTGGACCTGGGAATAGGCAATTCCAGTTTTAAACACAATTCTCAACAGAAAGAAGAGGAAGCACAGAGAAAGATAATTAAATTTGCAGGCTACATAAAGCTGGGTGGAATAGCAAATACCCTGGAAGACACAGATAAGATACAGGGTGATCTCGATAGCTTAGAACACTGGGCAAAGAACAACATAATGAAATTCAGTAGGGACAAATGCCAAGCCCTCCACTTAAGAACAATAAACCAAATGCATCACTACAAAATGGGGAACACTTGGCTCAACAATACTGCAAATGAGAAGGATCTTCTTGTTGTAGATGACACAGAATAATGAACTTAATTTAAAAGAACTGATTTAGAGCAGACACTGGGAAGAATTTCCTCACTTTCAGAGCAGTACAACAATAAAATCTATTACCTGGGAAAGTTGTGGGCCTCACTAGAGACATTCAAAAAGTGTATGAATAGTCATCTGAGTGTGATGGTGTAACTTAGTGTCCTGCAATAGCAGGGGGTTAGATCTGATGGCCTCCTGGCCCCTTCCAACTCCACTATTCTGTGATTCTATATAGCAAATCCCCTTCCCTTTGCTTAGTGTTCTCATACTCTGTAATGCAATATTAGTAGGCAGCCGAGTACTCCCCAGATGATTTAGATTTTAAAGTCCCATAAGCTCCAGCCAGCATGACCACTGGTCAGGGATTACTAGAGCAGTAGTATGAAACAACTGGAAGGCACCAAGCTGTGAACGCTAGTATTCTGTTTGTGTTGCAACACAATGCTAAAATAAATATGGAGGAAATTTAAAAAAAAAACCTTCCCCAAAAAGGAAACCTACATGGGTAGCATGATTTCCCCTAGCAATACAGGGTGTTTAAAATGAATCAAACCTTTTTGCTAGGAAAAAAATCTTGTCCCCCATTAAACACTAATGGATCATATAAAGAGGAAAATGTGCACAACAGAAATTCAACACTGCTTTTAAAAAGGAGTAAAAGCACAAAGGTTCAGAAAATGAAGATTAAAACAGAATTTGCATATATACCTGAAGATGGTAAAAAGTCTTCCCATCAGCTACAATACAAACATTATAATAACCTCTCATCCCTGATGTTTGAACTACTAATAACATTGAGGAGGGAATCTTAGGGGAAATCTTCCTAATAAAAAATTAAATCTATACTTTGAATAACCTTGTTTGAGATTCAAAGAGTTATCATTAGCATCTACTGTCTGAAGCTCAAGCTAATCAGAATATATTCAAGAACTTACTTAAGGAAATTCACACAACCAAGAAGAGATTCTTTGGTAGATTTTCTGATTCACAGAACCCATTCTCCAGTTCTAACACAATGGGTTGCATCCAATAGTTGTCCATCTTCTGACAGAATACATCTGGCAGCAGAACAGAGCAGGAGGCTATTTGGGGCTATCCCCCATTACCTCTGAGGTTCACCCCCTATCTTGCTCCAGAGATTTGGAGGATCCTACAGAACGGAACTGAGGGGTCTCACTGCTCCACCAGCAGATGCCCTCCATTAACAGAATGGCTGCCACTACATACAATCCTTTCAGTTGCATCTGTAGAACTGTGTGGGATGGAAGAGACTTAGTGACACCTGACTTGGGAAAGGCCTGCACTACCTTGTCACCCATTTAGCCAGCTGTGACCCAGCAGCCCTGCACAGTACCCTACCTGGTCTTTGATCTCCTGTCCCACCACTCCTATTTTAACAGTACCACACTTGGAGAGAGGGGGACCAGATTATTAGGTGCCCCAATGAGATTCCATGGCCCACATTTCCATAAATTGTAAGTTCTAGCTTCTAAGAGGCCTTCACAAGCATCCAGCCATAAATGGTTCGGAACCTACAGCAATACATCCTTGCCAATACTGTCTGCACTATTAATCATCTAAACAAGTAAAAGATAATGAACGAGCAGTATGCTTGCAAGCAGGAGTTGGAGAAGGATGAAGAGGAGGAAAACTGTCCCCTGGCTTAAATACCTGCAGTCACAAGAAGGCCTCCAGAAGGAAAGAGATTAACACTCTCAACCGGCTGTCCATGTTCTATTGTCATGACACTTTTTTCAGTCCGTGTATCAAAGACTTTCACAGTATGATCATATGAACCTAGAAGTCATTCAAGAGAAAGGAACAGTCTGAGATGTATAAAAAAAGCATGTTGTTGTAGCTGCAACATTTTTCTTCAGATCTAAAACAGAGTAGAACAGGTGTTAATCCTGTTGAAATAATCAGTGAATAGGTAAAATATCTACAGTCAAACCCCAATCCATGCCAAAGCAAAGTAAAAGTAACTTCTGAATGCACATGTCCTTTTATTCAAGCATGCTGTTAAACTACTTAATGAAAGGAGCGGATGGAATCTAACATACCATACTGATGGAACAATCCCCGTGGAAGTGGGGCAGGGACAATTTTGCCTCCCTTCTACAGCCCCACTGTATCCTTACAATCTGTTCCAGATTGTCCTGCAGAAACTATTCTACTATATAGAATAGTTTCTGCAGGACAACTATATTGAAAAGCTGTGGAGTTTGCATTTTGTTTTACCAGTATAAGCTGGAGAAGCCACTTAGTGATTACTCTCATCACCCATAATGCCTTGGGGGCAGATTTTAGTGCATACTACAATTATAAGTCAATGTAATGAAATGAAACAAGAAAAAGAATCCAGTTGTAGCAGAAAATCTATTCTACACAAACACAAATCATTGGGAAGATACAGAGCAGAAAAACAAATATAAATAAATAGTACTAAAAATACATATGTTTATTCCACAGGATATATCAAAAGAATGTATCATTCAGGATGCCAATGTGATGCAAATAAGTATAAAATGAACTACAAACCTGTTACAAAAAGATCCGCATTCTGTTTACTAATACAGCTACATCTTATATAATCTGTGTGCTCTTCATAAGATGCTATTTCTGATGAGGATGAAACATCCCACACCTTAGATGTGTAATCATCTGCTCCAGATACTATGCGGTACTTATCAGAAAGGAAGTTCACAACATGCACAGCTCTAGAAACAGATTCAAAACATCCCCAATTAGTCCATTGCAACATTTAAGCTCCCTATTACGAACCTGATAACTAGCTAGCTTTGCTGGTCTGTTGCTTACATAGAAGTACTGTAGTGAATTGACCAAAAAATCAAGTGAGACAGCCTATAACAAAAAAAGTGGATCTACCAGGGTGAAATACATGGGACAGAATCTCTTCTGTTGCATGTTGCTCATTGTGTACAAAAGATTCCTCATTTGACTGTATAACCCAATGAATCCAACCCCAGAATAGTTAAAAGTACAATAAATTCATTTTACACCTGATAAGAGTATCTAAACCAGGGGTCCTCAAACTTTTCCACCAGGGGGCCAGGTGAAAGCTGCTGGTGCTGGGTGTGGGACGGAAAGGTAGTAGCAGTGGTGCGCGCAGGCGCGCGCGCTGAGGCAGGGTGAGGCGAGGCACAGGCGGGGGCAGCAAGGGGAGGCGGGCACATGCCGCGAGGCGGGCGCAAGCAGCAGCAGCTTGCTCACTTGGAGATCGTTTTCTCTGAGTGAGCAAACCGCTGCCGCCCCGCACATGGAATGAGGTGGGCGGCAGCAGGTGTGCGCATGGGCACGGCGGGTCCAAATGGGCATGGTGGGCCAGATAAATGGGCATGGCAAGCCGGATCCGGCCCCCAGGCCGTAGTTTGAGGATCCATGATCTAAACAGACTAGACCACTGGCCACACAGGCTAAAGATTATGGAAAGTACAGTCCAACATGTTGAGGCATGCTGGTAAACTATGGTTTTCTTTTAAAAAACAAAACAGAACACTGATTTCTATTGTTTCCTTTTTGTTGTGTTTTGAACATCCCTCTCATATTTTAATTCAGCAATTTATGTACTGTTTATTTCCAGAATATATTTCACACACACACATATCATTAAAAACAGTTGAGAAATTTTTACCCATTCAAAATCTGCTATAAAAGTAGTCTGTCATAAGGGATAAGCAGTAAAGCCATTACAGATGAGGACTTCAGAAATAACTGAATTAAAATAAGGGTGAATTTAAAATCTGAATGGATGGGCTTGGGCAACTGGAAAATTAGTATCATCAATATTAATTTATCAGTAATAAACCATCTGGCAATAGTTGAGGAAATAATGAAGACTTGTAAAAGTTGCAGTATCATGTTGACAGCCTTATATGAACATATATTGACTGCAATTGAGAAGTCACTTGACTCAGAAAAGCTTCAACTGAGGTGAAAATTTCAGAGTAATGCTGCGATTTGAAGTCTTAATGCATCTTTTTAAACAAATCTGCTTTCTTACTTAGTATGACCATCAAACTGCCTCAGTGGTGCTCTCCCACTGATATCAAAGAGTCGAACACTGCCATCTTCGCTGCCAGCAACAAGCAGCTTCCCATCATCTCGATATGTAGCACAGTAGGCTACATCTTTGAAGCGGGAGAATGTTTTGACTGGCTCTTGTGAATATCGACCATAAATGTGAATCTGGAAAAAAATGCAAGATATACAACTGAAAAACCAAGAGAACCAACAAAAAAGTGCTGCTTTGATCCATTCTACCTACTGTTATGTGAAGGTTTGGCCTGAAGGAAAAAGGAGTTAAAAACAACAAGGGGGTGGTTCTATGAGGGATAGAATCACAGCATGCAGACTCTTTGCATACAGAAGGCATCACCCTCTGAGGTTCCCTCTCATTAAAAGCTAAAATGTTTGGTGTAACAGTAGGCAAATGGTTTCCTTTCGCTGCAACAGAATTATCTGCAATTCTTCTCCCTATTTGGTCTGAATAGCAACCTTTACTTACATAAGAGAAAGCAAAGGTGTGCATATAGCAACACTATCTAGACAGAAGCAAGTTACTGGTAAGTGGGCTTTTGTAATGATACACAGGATCCTAAAATCTCCTTGTACACAAAAGCAACACACTTCCAGGTGTTACTTCAGCAATGCAGCATAAGCACCTTGCACTACAACAAAGTGGGAAACATCTTACAACCAAACTCAATATAACGGAATTTAGGATAAGATTAAGAAATTGTTAAGTAAAACAAAATTGTATTTTGAACCTTACCCTTGATGAAGCTGTGACAGCATAGTTATAAGGAGGAATTGGAGAAAAGTCTATTTTATTAACTGCACCGAACTCCTTTATCTGAATGGGAGCCTAAAAAAGGTTAGCACAATTTTAATATTTATAATTTAAAAGTTTCTTTAGCACAGTATTTCAAGTGAGACAAGCAAGCCAAAACTGTTTTAGAAATACAGTGGTACCTTGGCTCACGAACTTAATCCATTCCACGACTCCGGTTGTGACCCAAGTCAAATTTCCCCATAAGATTCAATGTAAATAAGGTTGATCCGTTCTGGCCCCTCTGAATGTGGCTGTGGGCCAATTTTTGGCCGCGAGTAAAGTCAAATTTCCCCATAAGGTTCAATTTAAATAAGGTTAATCAGTTCTGTAACTATTTTTTTATCAGAAAAATTTGAAACGAAGTGACAAAGAACAACTAAGTAACAAAGTACTGTACAGTACAGTGGAGAACACTAACCTAGGTGGGGGGGAGGCTGTTTTGAGGGAGAGTCCCCCTCCATAACAACATTGGGAAGATCTCTTTCAGGGGTTTCCTCTCTTCTTTGTCTTTTAGCTGCAGAGTCAATTTTGGCGAAAAATCTGTCTATGGTCACTTGTTTTTTCCTGCGCTGCATAACCCTCCGGAAATGAGAGACCATGTTATCGTTCATCAGATTCAGCACTCTGCTTGTTACAGTTATGTTGGGGTGGTGCTTCTCAAAGACATCCTGGCACTCATCCCATTTTTTGATAATGCATTGTATCACATCACTGCTAACCTCCTCCCTGTCCTCCTCTTCCTCAGTGGAATCCTCCTCAGCAAGTGCCTTCTGCTGCTAACTCTGGAGTTCAGCAAGTTCTTCTGTCGTCAGTTCCTCTATGTCTTCCCTGCACGAATGCAACCATGATCGAGGCCATCTCCCCACTTGGAGGGGGTGGGGGTGGGGAAATGGCTGTGATCGTGCTGGTTGAGGGGGGGGAGATGGCTGCGATTGTGCCCATCTTTCCTGCAGGAGCACGCCTGTGATCACACACGTCTTCCCTGTACGAACGTAACTGCGATCATGGCCATCTCCCCTCTCGGGGCGAGGAGATGGCCACAATCTTGGTTGCCACCCAATGTGGAGTTCGCGACCCAAGTCAAAATGTTCATGAAATTTTTGTTCATGACCCAATTTGGTTGTGAACTGAGGCATTCATGAGCCGACGCACCACTGTAATTTGATTACAGAACAATCCTAGAGCAGCTTCTAACCAGCATCTAGAGGGCCATAGCATTTTTTGGGTGGGGGGAGGGGATTCCCAGCTCTAAGGTCTAAGTTGTTCTGTTCTCAGAGTTGGAGATCTGTATTCAGATCCCTCCCCACTGCAGCTGGCATAGAAAGAGCTATACCAGCTATTTTTCCAAGGTCACATAAGCAACATCAGATAAACAGTTTCATGGGCATTCTTGGGTACAGGGAGAGGAGGAGTTGGCACCATCAACATACAAGGTATCCTGGCAGTGTCTCAGCCTCCTTCATTTTCACTTTAAAATGTCTATGTTAGATAGCTGTATGGGGAAACCCCCTGGATTACACCCCTTTTAAAAGGTTTTCTAGTTTTTCCTCTATATTTTAATGCTATAACATAGTAACAATGCATCTATTAAAATGAAATTCAAAATACTATGTAAGTTTTAAGTTCAAAGTATTGTTCTTGGTTATGCAGGGAAATGCAGAACTTAAATACAAAGTTAACAGGAATTCTCCATCATATCCATCATTTCAAACTCCTAAAGAGTACAATGGAACCAGACATTATCATTCCCAATCCCAATAATTAACTATGGATTATTACCTTGTAATTTTTCCAGTACAATGTATCTTTAGTCACTTTCTCACCAAGCTTTGGAAAAGACTGAACTATGACAGGTTTGTAATTAGCCATTATTCTTAAATATAATTTCTTCGAATAGCAAAGTGTAATCTTCCAGTGTTAAAAACGTCATAAAAGCTGGAAATAGATCAGGCTATTGAAAGAAAAGAACAAAGCAAAGAAGCACAAAATATCAAAGTTAGCCTACAATAGTAAGCAAGCATTTACTGCAAATGTTACTACTATCCACATACTAGTAGTTAATGTTTGTGGGCTAATCTATATTCAGTCATCTACAGAAATCTTACATTCAGATTCCTTTAGACTAGCAGACTCAACTTTTTTTAAAGGATTCTATTCTTCCACTGACACATATCTTCAATGGTTAGTAGCTGTCTATTCCTAAATCATAATAAAGTGCTAAACAAATCCTTTTAACCAAGCTCAAGATCAGTATTTCACCTTGAAGCCAAAAGCAATAGGATCTGATTGTGTGCATACAATTAGTGATTTCAAAATAATTCTGCGGCTATTGTGTAAGTATAATTATTTGTTCTTTTTTAAAACACTGCATGGCACTTCATGAGGGCAATACAACCTGAAAGGTGATATAAAAATATTTTCAGAAATAGTAACAACGCAGAGCAATCACTAATTGAACTAAAAGAAATATATGAAAGGAATTAGGGATCAATTAATGATACACCAACATTCCCTAAACACTTTATTTATTTATTCATTTAAAACATTTTTATGCCGCCCCCATCGCAACGAAGCCTCGAGGCGGCTCACAACATTAACAAAATACATAAATAACAACAATATAACAATAAAAAAATTATTTAAAACCCCCCGGTGCATCTCAGCTAAAAATTTAAAATCCTATGAATACAAATAATGTAACAATTAAAATAAGTTTTAAATAAAAAGGTCTTAGCCTGGCGCTGAAAAACAAATAATGACAGTGCCAGGCGGACCTCTCTGGGGAGCGCATTCCATAGATGGGGCGCCACCGCAGAGAAAGCCCTCCTCCGAGTACTCACCCTCTTAATATCATTCACAGTGGGTTCCCGGAGAAGGGAATCTGTTGATGATCTCAAGGGGCGGGAGGACATATATGGACGCAAGCATTTCTTTAGCTATCCAGGTCCCAAACCGTTTAGGGCTTTATAGGTCATAACCAACACCTCGAATTGGGCCCTGACTTCAATCGGGAGTCAGTGGAGCTGATGGAGAACTGGGGTTAACATTAAGTTCCACCATGGTTATGGTTACTAAACATGTTTACTAACACAACGAAAACGTATCGGTAGATTCAGGAAACAAAAGTACTTCTTCACACAGTAATTACCGAGTTCACAAAATGTGACAACGGCCACTGCCTTAGGCGGATTTAGAAAGGTATTAGAGATCACCAACTGTTATTAGCAAGAATACCTCGATATATCTCTATGTTCGGACCCAATGTTCCTCCAAAGGAACACTGTGGGAAGCAGCTGCTTTTATGCCAAGAGTAGGCAATTCAGTGCCTCCGAAATGCTTCTTTGCACTACAACTTCTCCAAGCCTCGCGCATCGGCCCTGCCGTTTGAAGCTGAGGAGAGCGGCACCCAAAATGTCCGGAGGACGCCAGATTGCCCGCTTCTGCTTTACGCCCTGCTCAGCCTTCTCCGCAGCCCCCGTGGAGAAGAACGCGGGACAGGACGGAGCTGTTTGTTTTTCGTTACTTGTTTTTCGGCACCAGGCGAAGACCTTTTTATTTAAACGTCATTTTAATTGTTAATATTATTTATTTTATCTGGCCAGGGCGACTTATTTTATATTGTTATTTGTTGTTTGTATTATATTTTAATTTTTATGTTGTGAGCCGCCCTGAGGCTTCGGCGAATGGGGCGGCATAGAAATGTTTTAATAAATAAATAAATAAATAAATATCTAACAGGGCTCCCCTGGGGCTTTCCCGGGAACGCTCAACCACCGCAAAAGCCCCGCCAGCCGAACCGCTGCCCATCCGGCAGCACCTGTGACAAGTCCCCAGTCCGTCTGCAGGTGAGGGACGAGTGCAGCTACCCCGGCGCGAGGAGGGTCTGACGGCTTCAAGAGCCGGAGCTGCGGTGGAAGAGGCGGCTGCAATGCTTCCCGCGGAAGAAAGCAGGGGTTGGGTTGGGTTGGGTTGGGTTGGGTTCGGGGCTCCCCGCAGCCTAGGACGAGAAGTCCGCCCTTACCTCAGAATCCCTTCCTCAGCAGTTCGCAGTCACGCTGTCCCGCAGGGAAGCCGCCATCGCCGTCTCCCTCGCGGCCGCACGTCATCACAGGCGCGCCGCAGGGCCGGCTTCGGCGAGCTATTTCCAATAGCGACCCCTATCGTGGCAGCGCGCACCGGTAGAGCTATGCGCTGCGCTGACTTTCTTCTCCCACATGATAATGCGCGGAAAAGCCGCTTAGGAACTCATCCCTGTCCTACGTCGCGCTGCGTTCCTGGAAGGAAAAATGTCACGCGCCATTTTGTGATCCCTGTTCATATCTCTGTGTGCAACCGAAGGGCCATTAAAAGGTGATGCGGGGGAGGGAGCTCGGCAGAGACGTGACGAACCGGCCTCGCCCTTCTGAGGCTGACATACTTCCCCGAGTGTGTCGTCCTTTTCGTTCCGGGTCTTTCCTGTGACTTAACCGGAAGTGGCGTCATGAAGTTAAATAGGAACAATAACAATGTTGCTGTTGAGAATGTCAGCGAGGAACGGCACGAGGTTGTGCGGATAAACGGCAGGGCGTGGAAGGGACGAAGAAGTCGGTATGTGGGAGAGGCGGTTTAACTGTAGTGAGTGGAGTGACTGGCTTGGACTGGGAAAAGACTAGCTCGAATCCTGGCTTTGCCACATGTCTAAAAGCAGCTTAGTTTTGTTGATCGAATATATCTTTCAGGTGTGTGTGTGTATGTATATATATGTGTGTGTAGTCATTTTATTATTTTATATAATATTTTATTTTGTGTGGTGGTCATTTTGTATTGCACATTGGTTTGATCACTTCTTTGTTGTTTGCTTGATTTTGCAGCTGGTATTTAGAGGCTTACTGCCTCCATTACTTGAGGTAACATGTACTCATCATGGTTAGTAGCCACTGACAGCTTTTCCTCCATGAATTTATCTAATCTCATCCGAATTTGTGACCTTTGCCACATCTTGTGGCAGCCAGTTCTATAAGTCTTGTGTGGAGAGGTATTAGCTGTTTGGCATACTGTCACTGAGTTTCAGCAGTGAATAGAGGTGAGCATCTCAGCAGCAGTTAAAACTTGGCATGGAGGAGAGAAATTAATTATTATAATTTTAAAATGTATTATTCCACGCTTTCTGTAAGAACATAGGATGCTGCCTTGTACCAGGTCAGGCTCTTTGTCCAGCTTGCTCAATATTGGAGTAACAACAGCCCTCCAGAGGCTTGAGCAAAAGTCTTTCCCAACACTTGCTACCTGATTATTTTAATAGGATGTGCCATACAAAATGTGTATTGTGCTAAATTAACTAACTATAGACAGAACTGACTCTCTCGAGCATTACATTTTAAGCATTCATTTTGTTTTTCATTCAAATTTTAAAACTACCAACAATTGTACTATCAAAATTAGTGAGTTATTAACAAAAATACTGATGACATTTTAACAGTTCATAGCTGTCAAATATATCTCAGTGCAGATAATATGTTACCCAGATATTGAAATAAAATTTTAAGAGACTTTAAAAAGTCAACTATGGCAAGGTCTGGAAAGATAATAATAGAAGCATCAGGTGCAGAAGACTGATGAAGCTCTCAGTAGATAGATCACAGTTAAAATTTCCTGTTTATATTCCCCCAAAATTCTAAATAAATGGTAGGGGAAAAAAACTGATTCCTTTGCTACAAAACACCCAAGAATTAGGGCAATCCTGCTTTGTCTACATGCTCCTCAAGGGGAATATCGACAAAAGGGACAAGATTAGCAACATGCCTGCTAACCAGAACTGATTTTTGTGAACACATCATGCCTGTCCTATACAGCAGGGGCCCCCAACCTGGGCCTGTTAGGAACCGGGCCACAAAGCAGGAGGTGAGCAAGCGAAGCTTCATCTGTATTTGCAGGCACTCCCCAACCCTAGCATCACCACTGGGGAGTGGATGCAAATACGGATTATCATTAGGGCCCTTTTGGGTCTTGGGCCTCCAGAGGAGGAGGGAGCAGTGGCGGCAGCAGTGCTGGGTGGCAAGCGACACAGAGAAGCCAGGGAGGGCACGTCCGAGCAGCGAGGGAACTGGGGAGCAGGTAAGGGCTGGGCTGTAGGTTGGGGGGAGGCTCCCATTGATTCTTCATTATGGCGAGTTGTATAATTATTTAATTATATATTGCAATGTAAGAATAATAGAAATAAAGTGCACAATAAATGTAATGCGCTTGAATCATCCTGAAACCATTCCCTATCCCCGGTCCCTGGAAAAAATGTCTTCCGTGAAACTGGTCCCCAGTGCCAAAACACTTGGGAACTCCTGCTATACAGGCTACGTTGGCTGCCATTTGCCACCTAGACCCAATGTAAAGGGCTTACAATGACATATAAGGCCCTAAACACTTCCAGCCAGGCTATCATTCTTCATATATACCCTTCCAATCACTGTGATCAACATCCAAGGCCCTCCTCTGTGTTTTTCCCCAGAGTGAAGTGAGGGGGAAATTGGCAAGGATGAGGGCATTCTCTTGCATTGCACCCTGGTTGTAGAATTCAATTCCACAAGAAATTAGGCAGACACCAACACTGTATTCTTTTAGATGCCAACTGAAGACCTTTTTGTTTTGCTCTCATTTTGACAGGTGAATCTGTTGGGTTTGTTTTTAAATTAGTTGCTGCTGCCATTTTAACTGTAATTTTATGATTTTTCCTTTTGGTTGTAAATTATATTGTATTACTGGGTTATTATTTATATCCCTCTCAATATATTAATTTATCATTTAGTTATTTTACTTATTTTATTATTATCAGTTGTTTTATTATATTGTATTTTACTCTTTTGATTGAATGTAAGCTACCCAGAGAGCCTGCAGCTAATCAGGTGGCATATAAATCAAATAAAATACCAAATTGGCAAACATACTATGATGCCCGCCAATTCCAGAAGATAATTCCCCTATTAACAAAAGATAGGGGAAAGCAGTGGATTTCATTGGAGAATATAGCAGCAGAGGGAATACATTTAATAGATTATTTCTAGGGGGAAAGTCAGCCTTAAGTGTAATAGATTCATTTGACCACATGTAAAAGTTTGATGAGACAGGCAGGGAAACTTTCTCCAGGGATAATCTCATTACTCCCACTGGGAAGTCACCCTAATTTTCATAATAAGGTAAGAACTTGAGGCTGAATAGAAATGCAAAGAGGGATTGTATTATCTTTATAATTTTTTAGTGAAGGTAACTCGATAAAAAAGGACCTCCTTTTAAGGGGGGAAAAAACTGGGGAAAGTTAATATGCCTTGGCTTTTATATTGCAAGTTTTGATGGTTTTTAAGTTCTCCCTGTGAAGTATGTCTTTATCAATATTACCATCATAACAATAAGCTAGTAAGCTTGAATTCTGCAAGATGGACCTACTATCCTGGTTTAGCCAGTGTGAAATCATAGAATAGTAGAGTTGAAAGGGGCCAGAAGGCCATCAGGTCCAAATATCTGCACAGGGCAGGACACCAACTTAAACCAGCCCTCTCAGAATAGTTTAGAATGAATAGTCAATAATGAATGCTGGAATTCTTGTGAAGAGAAGGTCAGATTTAAGACATTTCCCCTTAAAGAAATTAGGCAAAACAACCCTGTAAGGAGGATGATCCATTGTCCTGAAACTCCTGGAAATTGCTCCATCAATAGTAGTTAGCAAAAACAGAGGAAGATCCATAGAAAATAGCCATGGTCTATAGTTTAATTATATTCCAACATATTCCAAACTCACCAACCCTAGCAGACAGCAATAGATAAGGTCATCAAGAGCTATCAAGCACCCATCCAACAACTAGCATAAATGTGGGAAACTCATCCATTCCATAGTGACAAGTACAGAAAGAAACAGTATAGAGCAGGGACTTAGAAAACTTGGAGGTGGGGCAAGCTCTGAACACAGGCCTGGAACAGCAACCTCTGGATGCTTTGCACCCTTCCTGCCCATACAAAGGATCGCTGTCTAGAGTCTACCCTGCAGGACAGGTAGTGAACGCCCTTTCTTTCTCTCTCTGCCTATAGGTCAATTACACCTAGAAAAATACCCTTAGGAATTGTTCATGTCTAGAAACTGATTCTGAGATAACTTTCCTTTATGACTCATACCATTTTCCCACAGTGTTGAAGGCGGTTCTAGGAGACAAGAATATTTGTGGTAAGAGTGAAAAGAAATTGCGTTATTGTGGGGAGCAGTAATATCAGCGATTGGTTTAATTATGAATCAACATACTCCAAATTCATTAACTCTAGTATTACTGAAGCTGTTTTTGGGAGAAGCTAACAATTTGAATAGCTTGAAGCTAACGAGGAGTTAATTATTCAACCAAATTCACAATCACAAGATATTGGAATGGGTTTAAATTTCAGGATATAGATTATTGGCACAAAAAGTTATGAAAACCAACAATGGAAAAAAATATCTCATAAGTTAATGATGACAAAGGGTCCAAATAAACATAACTCATTTTATGCAATCTGGCATGTTTTATTCTTTAGGTGGCACAATCAGTCCCCTGACAATACAAACATTTTGGTACTATAAAGAACTCTGAAAAGAAAAATAACTATCACAGATATTCATTGTTTAAGTAAACAATTTAGGTTAAAACTAAAACCTTTATATTCTTGTCCTAACCTAATTTTTATCTTTTATTTGTATTGATACAACACTGATGGAATATTTGGGCTCTTGTATTTTTTTGTCTGTTTAGATGTTCTTTTATTGTTTACTACTATTAAAACAAATTAAAGTAAAAAGGAATTTCTTGAAACATGCAAAGGATTAAGATAAAAGTCTGTTTTACCCAGTTAAGTTGCTTTGAAATCGATAAGGCTCAAAATATTCTGTCTGAAGGGTTGCAGCTATCATATAAATTTGAATTCCTGTTTGGGGAATTTTATTAAGCACCAAAGGTAAGGAATATTCTGCCCAGAATATATAATTGCAGCGGTTCAGAATGATATGACTGGGTTTTGTTTGTTCTTTACTTCTCTTGCATTTTCACACGTTTTTGGCATTATGCTCTAAACTATTAATAATTTATTTCATTTGCAGATTGTCATAGACCTTGACCATTGAGAAGTGTACAAACTCACTTTTGCAGTAAACGCCATAAGAATCTACTCAGAAATGGAATCTTCAGCAAACCTGGATGTTGATGCCCAGTTGATTGTAGAAGACTGTGCAGGCAGCTATAGTCTGTCTCACATGCCAGATATTAAAGTGGAGCACCACCTTGATTCCAGTGTTGAGGAAGGACCAGCTCAGAGTGTTGCCATGGGAATGAAGTTTATTTTGCCCAATAGGTTTGATATGAATGTGTGTTCTCGGTTTGTTAAATCCTTGAATGAAGAAGACAGCAAAAACATTCAGGATCAAGTGAACTCTGACCTTGAAGTGGCATCTGTTTTATTTAAAGGTCAGCATTTAAAATTTATCTTTCCTTTAGGACTAATACTATCACAAAAAAGAAGTCATAGGCTCCGCTCATTTTTCTTATTTATAGAATGTTCTTTACAGTCAGTTAAAGATTTGGTTGAACCATAGCTTTGGCCAAATCATACGTTTTACCTTAACTGACCCACAGGCTAATTCACAGGTTCACCACAGTCCACCATATCTTATTAAAACAGCTCTTAAATTGTGTGCCAGCAGCCCTTCTGAATATTCAGGGTGTGGTGGATTATTAGTATGGCTAGTGTGTCATGCAAATCCAGCAAGAGGGTGTTATGCAATGGTTAAATAAAAGTTGTGTAACCCTAAAACAGCCCATGGATTGAATATTCAAAAGAGGGCTGTAGATGCACAGTGGACTGCGGTGACTATGGTAACATTTCTAGCCTATCAGTATATTGAGAAGGATATACTCTTGGTACCAATGGGCTGGCCTTTCTGCTATTCTTCTTTGTAAAGTGGCATGGAGATAGCATGCATGCGGAACTTCTAGATATTATGCTTCAGGTAACTGACAAAATTTGTTTAAGGATCCAGCAATAAAACACATGATAGATTTTAAATTTAGAATAGCTTAATCTGAAGTCATATGTACTCATGCTAGTCACTTCTTTCCCTCTTTTATTCTTAACAGACTGAAAGAGTAGAGGGAAGGACACTCAATTTTGCTTAAACTTGCAGTCATAAGAACACTTACATAGAGGTAAATTGCATTAGAGAATAGAGAATCCTGCAGTCAGTCTGTTCACTATAAGGCTATTTATGCTGAATTTACTTACTGATCCCAAATATAGTGCATGGATATAAACCCACTGATTTCAGCAAAAGCTTCCAAGTTAATGCACTTAAGATCATTACAGGCTATATCAGGACACTTCAGTTTGTTTATTTTACTCTGACATTAATGAACCTGCTGTTTCTTAGAGATTGGGACTCCAAAGTACACAGAGCAACTTTTAATGGTTAATCTGCTCACTGCTTGTGCATGTCAAAACTCTTAAATTCTCATGGGAATATACAGCTCATGTACTGGGGTGACTGTTGAAATAAGATCCACTTCACATCCAAGAAATGTAGTTTCCTTCAGCAATGCAAACACTGCAGGTGCCTCTCCGTATAGTTGGCTGCTTCAGTGAATCAACACCCATTTAGTTTGGCTTATATTATCCATGCCAGAGAAATCCCAGCTCTTGATGGCAACCAAGCTACCTGAATAATAACTGAAATAACTCTTTTGCTTTGATTGAATAAAGTATGTTGGGAATTTCATTTTAAATAGGCGTTTTCTTCATTAGTTCTTCTAACAGCCACTATTTGTTTTTTCTTTTATCTCTTAGCTGAGTGCAATATCCATGCTTCCCCATCTCCTGGGATTCAAGTAAGACACGTTTACACTCCATCAACTACTAAACATTTTTCACCTATAAAACAATCAACCACTTTAACTAACAAGCACAGAGGAAATGAAGTTTCTACAACACCTTTACTTGTAAACTGTAAGTGTTTCTCTGTAGTGGTGAATGTAAATTTTTGTTTTGGGAGCTTGTGATATGCAGTTAGCACTGTACTCTTCAATTCATAGCAGGATTGTAGCACAGTAGATGACTGATTTTATGCCTTATATTTATATCCCACCCTTTTTCCTTCCAAGGAACTTTTCTCCCTCCAAGAACCTTACATAATTCTCCTCCTCCTTGTAATCTTATCCTCACAGCCTTGTGAGGTAGGTTGAGCTGAGAGTCTGTGACTGGCCCAAACTCATTCAAATAGCTCCATGGGACTAGAACCCAAATCACCTGAGTTCCAGTCCCAGACTCTGAGCCACTACATTGCACTGGCTCTCAGTTTCTTTTTCCTGCTGTTGTCTCTTACAGCTTTGTCTGTTCACCAGTTGGCAGCTCAGGGGGAAATGTTGTATCTGGCTACACGAATAGAACAAGGTAACAATTTTTTGTGGTCTCTTTTGTGGGAGGAGGGAGGGAAGGGGTAGGAAGCAGAAATGATAACCTGTGAAATGGGTTGTGTGTTGCAGCAAGTCCATTTTACATATATGATTTTTCCTTTCTTTCCCTTTCTGTTTATTATTATTTGTGATGCTCATATCTTGCCTTTTTCCTGCACTGAATCCAAGCTGGCTTATGCAATCCTCCCCATCTTCTGCATTCTGTCTTTACAATCCTGTGAGCTAAGTTAGGCTGAGAATCAGTCACTGGCCCAAACTCACCCAGTGAGCTTCATGGTTGAGTGGTCAATAGAACTTGTGTCTCCCGAGTTCCAGTCCAACTCTCTAACTATTGCACCACACTGGTTGTCAAATGTTTCCTGTGAACATGGCTCCCAAATGTTTGGCTTAGTCAGGGTAGGATAACATGGTGCTCTTTATGTGTTTGTGAGTTCAGTTCCCACAGTCCCTGATCATTAGCCATCTTGGCTGGGCTGATGGCAGTTGAGGTCCAAAACCACCTGGTTGCTTGCCTAGATTGTTGAAGCCTGTTATGGACTATCTTGTGCCTGCAAAACTGAAGCAGATGGCTCAGAAATGGCAGACACTTCATATCCTCTCATCACTGCTCTTTATTGGAAAAAACATTGTATTGAATCTGTTCACTACAACCCTCTGGTTAGAACTCTTATCCCAGCTGCCCTGTGGGTGAATCATGCAACACATCAAGGAGACATGTTCCAACCAGTAGGAGAGATTATCCTGGCCCCCGTAGGGGTTGTTTACATTGCACAGATGTGGGTGGAGCTTCCTCTCTTGCCCCTTTCTCACTCAGTGCAGGTACCAGCTATGGCAATGTCTACTTCGTAGTGCCAACATAGTAGAGATCCACAAATTATGGTTTGGCTTAGTAGTCAGCTCTTGTCCCCCAAGTGCTTTGTAGTTCCCAAAGGATTTGATGGAAAGGGCATCTTGCGTCTTTCTTCATACTGGCCTTTGAAGGAAAGCAGAGAAAAAGGTTCTCACTGTTTTTCTGCTTCCCCCTAAAGCTCTTCACAAAGTGATGAGACCCGACACCTCCTCCTTTTCCTGAAGGATGCCCAAGGCAGGAGAATCTCTTTCCTCAGGCCCAAGCATGAAATATGAAACTTCCATCTGACCCCCAGTTCTCTGTGATGCATGAGCGTGAGAGTAGCTGCTGCCAGACCTCTAGCTCCAGGTTTGGGGATCCCTGTGCCTTAGCGTGGTGCCACAGGCACTCATCAGCATGCATTTAGTTCAAGGTAGCTTGCAGCAGCCGGTTTCCTACCTTCACAGAGGAATGTATTTTCTGGAAGTGCCTCTGCTAAAGTTGGACATTTAAATTTTCCTACTTCGTATCAGCTGCTAGCCAGTAGTGGCTTACAGGTCTCTCTTTAGGACTAGCTAAAGGGAACTAAGCAGTATAATTCAACTGATTATTCGCTTTAATGGTGCTTGCTAGTTTGAGAATCCTTGCTTTAAACAGGGGTGAGCAACTTATGACCATCCAGATGTTTTCTCCTGCAACTCCCATCATCTTTTACCTTTGGCTATGTTGGCTAGGTCAAAACAGCTGCAGGTCCACAAGCTGTCCATCCCTGTTTTACAGGTACTGAACTGTTTGATTAATGTCTGTAGCAGAATAAGATGTATTACCTTCAGTATGAAATCTGTTCAGTGTTTTGATAAGCATTTGTATAGTTGCATGTAATGACCCCCTCCCATGGAAGTAGTGATTTCTGTCTGTAGAACTGGGGAGCGTGAATGTTGCTCCCTTCACTGCCTCAAAACCTGTTTTGGAGAACTGGGGAACTCTTCTGTATAGAGTTTGAATAGGAAGAGAGGAAAAGGAGGAGGGGACAGTCTGATAAAGTTTTGGATTTCACCCTTACCCAAATGCCTGAAAATCCCCCATGGCATATACCTACATTTGCAGATGTTGTTGGATTCCAAGCCTCCTCATCTGCAGACAGCATATCCAATACAGATCATGGAAACTGTAGTTCAGTAACATCTGAAGGACCACTAATTCTTCACCTCTATTTTATATTTATCAGTAAGACTATATAAGGCATAAACAATGTTCAGGTGCTCCATTTTTGTTTGTCTGCCTGCTCAAATTATATTTTATACATGTTGTCAGGCCAATCTTTGAGACTTGTGCATGCCATCCATAATAGTTTTATTCCTGTATTTTATGGAGACAGCTGTGGAAAGATAGCTAATTTTTATATTCTGTTAAATAGAAAATGTAATCAACCATACAGATGAAGAAGGCTTTACCCCTTTGATGTGGGCTGCAGCTCATGGGCAGATAGCAGTGGTAGAATTTCTACTTCAAAACGTAAGTGAAAATATGTTCCACTTCCTATATTTCTAGTAAAGCCATCAGCAAATGTAGGATTCTAAACCCAGAAAGAACTTACCAGTAGGCATTTGAAAACCCTCTTTATAGGATTTTTAATAGTATAGTATTTCTGGTTACTGACTCCTAGTTGAACAGATCAGAGGAAGCTGCTCCAGCTGGTCTAGGGACTCTGGGATACAAGCAGCCAAGTTCCCAGGGAGTGCGCAAACAGGAGTTTGGTGGGGGAGGTCTCTAACATTTTTTCTGCTTCCCCCCTCCTTTGTTTCCCACCTTGTAACACACTCCCCATTTACTGGTAGGACTGTGTTGTTAACCCTTAGTGAAGACAGGATTGTTCCAAGATGGGGAATCAGAAGTATCATTTCCAAATCTTGTGCAGTGCTAGTTCCCCTTTACTCAGCACTGGTTACGTCTGATCTGTATCCAGTTCTGGGCACCACAGTTTGAGAAACATGAATAGGGTTCACAGGAGGGCAAGTAGTATGATCGAGGCACTGGAAACAAATCCCTGTGAGGAGAGATTGAAAGGACTGGGCATATTTGGGCTTGAGAAGAAAATGAACCAACCTTTTAATCAGTTGGATACTAAATGTTATGGCCTCTTACCCCAATTAGAGTAACACTGAGTATTCTGTTCAAGAGCGGGGGAGAATGGTGGCCCAGGAGTAATGGTCTTCTTCCAAAACTGTGGATGCTGTTATAAAGGGAGCAACTGTGTCCTGGGGTAACATAGGAAGCAATAGTTTTACAGCACAAACCTAGGCATGCCTACTCAAAAGTAAGTCCAATGGCGTTTAAAGGGATTTACTTCCAAGTAAGTATGTATAGGATTGCAGCCTTAAGGGCAACAGAGCAGGTATAGGGTATATTCAAAGAAATAAAAAGTACATATTATTCAGACAAATTGGTGAGTAGAACAAATTGTCTCAACAATTTGGTTGGATGCTGGATTGTTCCACACTTGGCTTTTAATAAAAGCACATGTAACAACACATTTACCACCACTGCTTTTTCTGCCAGGGTGCAGACCCACAGATCTTGGGGAAAGGGCGAGAGAGTGCATTGTCTTTGGCCTGCAGTAAAGGCTACACAGACATCATCAAGATGCTGCTGGATTGTGGTGTTGATGTGAATGAGTATGACTGGGTAAGTCTCTTACTGGAATTGCTGCTATCTTAATTTGCTATTAGATTATGCCATCGATATGAATCTGGCAACCATCAATAGCAAACATGCTCCCAAAAGCTTAGTTTCAAATGCTGCTCCTTATGGAATGGGCACTTTTTAGCTGCTGAATAAGAGGTATGATAAGTCCATTTTCTGAACCCAGGATACTCTTCTGTCCTGTAACATGACCCAGAAAACTTTCTAGTGATTTATGTGTTCACCAGCAACTAATTTTAGAAAAGAGTGTTTGTTGTGTCTAGTCTGACTATGGTTTCTGCCATCCCCAGCTACAACTAGCTGGTCATGTACTGTTGGGATTCTGTTCCTACCCTCCCATTTTCAGTGGTTGAGGGCACAGAGCAGAGATATTGAGTCAGTTTTGGCTCAAGGGCTGGATTGCAATTTGGAGAAGTGCTTAGAACCACCTTCCAGTGGTGGGGGAGGCTAAACTACCAGCATGTTTTGGGCAAAAAAAAGTGCTGGTAATTTTTCTACCAGGATATTATATGGGAAGAAAATTGCACAAAAGCCAGACATAACCAAACCTGGGAAAGGGAGTGATCATTTGGGAAACCATGAAGGGCTGAATTTAAACTCTGGGTCTAAGATTCTGTACTTCTTACATAGAGGAATATGAATTCAGAACTAACAGTTGCCACTTTTGATTGTCATGCCTCAGTATGACTTTCCCTCAGCACATAACTAGGGATTAGAACTTTCATGCTGTGCTCTAAATCTTTGTTTCTGACAGTAGGTTATATCATGATGCATTGGACTATGACCCCAGCAGGAAGCCAAACAACAAGAGAGAGATTTGGCAAATATTGACTTTCCTATATAATAGAAGTTCAAAACTGCATTGGATGTAAATGGTTGTAAACCTATGATGTAATTCTGTGGCCTCTCAACATCATATGGTAGGCCATAGGATTATTTAGAGACCACCCACCCAGCCAGAGTGGAAAGAACCCCTGTTCATATATAACCTGTTTATAGATCATTGAACTGTATACATCAATTCTGAGATTTAAAATCTCCCTTTTTTTTTTTTAAACAGAATGGTGGTACACCCTTGCTTTATGCCGTACATGGAAACCATGTGAAATGTGTCAAAATACTGTTAGGTAAGTGTTCTGAAGATAATAGCAGTCAGTATAAACTCTGTGAAATGTAATATGTTAAAATCAACTAATGACTTAAATTTCATGTTTTAAACAGAGCATGGTGCAGATCCAACTATAGAGACAGATTCTGGGTATAATTCTATGGATCTGGCTGTAGCCCTAGGCCATCGTTGTGGTGAGTATACAAACACTTAAGGACGTAATTCAGTTATTGTTGCTCTCTTTTTGTATCAAAAAATTAAAACTTTATGTGTTCTGAAAATGTGTGAGAATGTCAGTTTGTCCGTGATCCTAAAGCAGGGGTCGGCAACCCACAGCTCCAGAGCCGCACGTAGATCTTGAATCCCTCTGCTGCAGCTCGGTCGCTCAAAACACATGCACAGCCACAGATCTGCGACTGAGGCTCCAAGTTACAAAATACCAATAGGTGGGCTAGCTGGTTAAGTAAATTGCTACATTCCTCTGCTATTGTGCACTGAAAAAGTGGAACAAGCTTCCTGCAGGCTCTCATGTTACACGAAACCCTGCTGAAAAGATTCTCTTTGTCCAAATGTAATTTCCTTCATCTGAATGTTAAAAGCTGTGCTTGGACCTGTCACAATTCACATCACTTGACTGTTTATCTGCTAATCAGTCACTAAACACACCTATAGCTGCAACCGACCCGTGCGCTAAGAAAAGTTTCTGACGTGGGTAGATTCATTTGCTTTTACTGCTGACGAACTTATGGGGTTTGCTGTTTAATGCATGCAGCCCTTTAGCACCGACTTTGACTCTTCAGGAAGCTGTTTTCCTATTCAAAATATATGAAAGGAGTCCTACTAGTTTATAATGTAAGATTAAAAATAATAGTTTTTAGTGACTGAACAACAGCTGCAGCTAAATCATAATGAAGATATACATAGCATTAAGGTAAAAAAATGATGTATGCAGTGTTCCCTTCATTTTAGATGTCAAAAGGGTTTTGTGGCTCCTGGTTTTTTCTTTTGTGTGGGAAACGGGTCCAAATGGCTCTTTGAGTGTTAAAGGTTGTCGACCCCTGTCCTAAAGGAAGAATCCTATGTGTGTTTTGATAGGGGGGAAAAGTCTACCAGTCCCAGCATACCTCAGCTAGCTATGCTGAGAGTTACAAATCTTTTTTTTCCTAAACTTGCATAGGATTGCACCTTAGGTGGAATAAGTCTGTTTATTTAGAAGCACATTCTACAGAAACCATTGGGAATCCCTAGTTTTTTACTGTGAACCATTGCCCTTTATTATCATGCACAGCAGTGTAGCACATGCAAAACTACGAGAACAAAACTATAACTGTGCCATTACTGGTTTTGTTGCATAAGCTTTTCACCCTGAAAACAAATAACCTAATGTTTAGGGTCAACAGCACATTGTTGCCGCCTCCATATCACAGTGTGCATACTTTGTCCCATAGAACTTCCAGTGGGGCAGCAATGGCACTGAGCAAGAAGCATGCCCTTGTCGACACAGAAAATGGCCTAATTCTTGAGCAAGTGTGACCAAAATATAGACAGTTGGTAACCTCTGTTGATGGTACTAAGTCACCAGCAGGGCTGAAAGATAGGCTTCAACTCACCACAATGTGCTGTGCTACTTATGGCATTCGGTTACTCAAGGACACCACTGAGGTGAAGTAGTTAGGCTCAGTTACTTCCAAAGACTGCAAACCCCAGCCATTGAGAATTAATCCTGTTCCTAACTTGGTTTGATTCCTATCAGTTAATTTAGTGGAATGTGGAGAAGTGATGGTGGTATAGACTATAAAGTTTATGTCCAAATCTCATTGGAACCTCCTCTTTTTTTAACCTGTCCTATTCACATCTCCAGAATATGATAGAGCAACACAAGAATTTGTCCTTAATTTGTATTTTAATTAAGATTTAATTTGTAATCCAAATTTTACTGCTAGCCACTTTGAGCATTATCATCAGCAGAAAACCAAGATATAAATTAAATAAGAATTGACTACTAACTGTGTGTTTTTCCCACTTCAGTTCAACAGGTTATTGAGTCGCATTTATTAACGCTTCTTCAAAATATCAAGGAATGATGATGTCGTAGTTATGGAAAACATTGTATGTAAAGGTTTGGACTTTGTTTTAGTCAGGGCTTTTTTTGTCATAGAATGCACCAGAACAGCGTTCTGGCACCTTTTTTCCAATGGATTTTACGAAGTGATTTTGAATAGCGGATTAGCAAGCAAACATCATTAACGTAGTGCCTGCAGGCTGCTTTTGTGTCCGCTATCTGCTAGTGAGATAGGGCGCTGCTCTTGGATTTGGAATTGGTGTGTATGGTCGCGTGCTTACTGCCGGCAACATGAGTTCCGACATTTTTTTTTTTTTTACAAAAAAAGCACTGGTTTTATTGCTGATCAACGTCATAGAGACTCTTTTTATGTTGATAGTACACTCTCATTTGGAGTGAATGTTGCCTATTTATGAGTAATACTGCATCCCTAGTTTGCTACCCAAGTCTGAGAGTTTGGCATTTTCCTGCCAATGAGCATTTGTTTAACAAGTACTAGTTGCACAGACAGGAATGACAGGAGAGTACTTGTCTGGACTGGGATCTGTCAGTTGCCTAATCAAGACTTTCTTCTTTTGCTATTGTGTTGGTTTATCATCCTGTTAGAACTTGGTATCCAAAATGGCTTAGTAGGAACTCTTACAGTACATAAGAAACTCTTATCCAAGAAGGTAGGTGCCAAATATCCAACATCTTGTATCGCTTTGAAGATGGTATTTAGCAAAGTATTCTGTGGCGTATGCTCACTTTACATTCTAAATTCTTTTGTAGGATTTTTACAGCATTTCACTTTACGTATTTGGCTTCTGTCTGCAGATGTTTGTAAAACCAGGCTATCCTATTTGTAAATATTTCATGTAACATTATGTTGTATATTTAAAAAAGGAATTATGGAGTACTTCACGTTGTATAAATATAGTAGCTCATTATGTCTGCTGTATTATGAAGCTGTATCCACTTAGGGTGCAGTCTTATTAAGAGGCTTGTAAGCCCTGAAACTTGGGGGTTTACAAGCATCTTGCACTGGGTGGGAAAAGTGGTGGTTGTGATCTTCACTTTCCTATCCTCTAGTCCCAATTTGCTTGGCAGACTCTTCATCACTGCTTCCTGCATGTTTCAGGAATAGGAAAGAAGTAGACTCAATAGTCTCCTTCCCCCTAACTCAAATGCTTTCTTTTCTTCCTCTCAAAGATCAATTTCCAATCCTTGGAGATTAGGTGGAGCCGCTTTTTCTTCACAGTTCTGAGAAGGGGGATTTGGAGCTCTAGTTTCATCTTCTGAGGGTGGAGTACTGTATCTGACCTCAGATCTGGGAATCTGAACTATCGCCCCTCAGATGTTATCTAAGGACCATAGGATTGCTCCTTTGCATGTTTTTATGTGAATAGCAAAATAGAACCTTCAGAATGTATTAAAAGCATATCTGACAACACTTGGAACACTGCGTTGATACAAATACTACTGAAATTCTAGGGGAAAACACTGCAAGATTCTCCTTTATCTGATTATTGTGCTTCACATAAAATTAATAGCTAATACTGAGTTACCTTAGCCTGTTCTTATGGGGGTGGTATGGGACAGTTTCCTTCTAATTATACTGATAAATATGACTTTTAAGTAAGCCTATCAATGTTACTTACAGGAATGTTAGAAAAATCTGCAATTAAATTATTTTGGATTTCTGTGAACCTACCCTAAGGATTCAGCAGGAGACTGGCAGTTCCTCACAAATTCTGCAGACTCTTTCAAAAATTGGTGCTGGGGCAGAGGGAATTTGTACAAATTCACACTTGTCCAAAAATGATTGTCAGTGAGTTGATGACAGAACAAAGGTTGCCTGATGGTCTATGAAAGACAGAACGGCTTTAACAAAATTCACACATTCCTGTGAAGTTGTCTGCTCATATACAGAGAGCTCAGTGCCTGCATTATAATACAGCTAGCACTGAAAAATAGTACAGCTGTATTTGTTCAAAACCTTTAGATCAAGTCATTTGAAAACTGGAAGCAAATACCTCCAGCTGATTTTTCTTTCAGAGCTACACAGAGTGGGGAACTGTTACATACTCCAAAACACAAAAATTGACTGTATACTCTTTGTGGAAAACCCATTTACAGATGTATAGCTCATCAAAAAATAGACCAATTCATTTCAGTAATTCTTACATGCTGCATTTCTGTGAGTGGGCTGGCTTCAGTCATCTACCTATATCCTAAAATGATAATGTTCTAAGACCACATGCATTTTCAGTAATGTAGAATTAATCCCATGAGGTAGATGGGAAGTGAAACAAATATACTTCTACTAAGACTTTTAGAAAGCTTGAGATCCGCAGACGTCGGCATGATTCTCACTAGGTCAATACTTGTACCCTCAGGTCAATACTTGTACCCTCAAGTTGGCCATCCTGTTCTTTTGTCTGTTCATAGCTAAAGAGCCAAGATATTCATATGGCCACCATTGTCAACTGCTGATAGCTGCTGGCTATGAGGAAGTAACACATGAATAAAAATACACCAATTGCAAGGGCTCTTAAAACAAGAACCATTTCATTCCTGTATTTGTGCCTGAAGTTGAAATTGGTAAGAGAATGAACAGTAGAGATTTTTCTGAAAAAGCAGCTTTCATTTTTAGGTACAGTGGTGTGATCAGAACCAAACAGCAAAGAGTAAAACATCCATGTGCTGTTCCTCCTGAGCAATGCTCAATAGCAGAGTATAATTTGTAGCTACTCTTAGCTGAATAAAAGCAGTGCAGATGCATGTAGCAGAACTTGATCTGACACAAATGCTTTTCAAACCTTTTTTCATACAGACTTCAAACTGACATAGGTGACAGCAGCATAAACTTCAAGGTCCCTGGACCACTAAATAGTGAGGGAGGAGGCAAAGGAGAAATTGGTAGATTGATCCTGTGCAACATAGTCTCCAAAACAGTTGCAATCATCAAAGGAAAAAAGTGTGGGTATCTGCTCACCAGCTCAACAGCCTAGCAGCTTGATGACCATCCCATTGTTCTAAATTTGTACACATTGGCAACACATGGGTTCAACAAACCATGTATGTTAGCATACTGTTTCCGTTTCTTACTACTTTTAGCACAGCTATACTCACACAACTAATGGCTTACATAAACCATGGCTCAGCACTATATGCAAACTGACACGCAGAGTAGGCTTCATTCTAAGAATATCTGATCCAGTAAAATATTTGAGCAATATCGCTTGATGAAAATGTCTGGGCTTGCACATCACGAGAAACCATGGTGTTTCTTACCCTTGTTAGTCTGTCACATCATTTGGACCCAGTTGTGCCCATCTCCCTATTTACTTTCAGAAAAAGGAAGAAAGCAGTAAATGCTCAAAGGGAGGAAAACTGCAGGAAAAGTATTATGATTTAATGCAAATTATTTTGGGGGCTGGAGTGGCTAGGAAGAGCTGCAGAGATGCATGTACACTTGGGTGGGGGAAGACAGGAAGCCCACATCAAAACCTTGGCAAACAAGACTGCGAAGGTCCATAGGAAGCAACAGAGAAGAGATTTAACTTGCCAGGGCCTGCTGGAATGTGTGGCAAGACAAGGAAGAACAGGTAGCAAGGGACTATTGCCATGGAAACCATACGACTCTCTAGCTGGTGTATCCAGGCAAAAATCTGCCCGATGGAAACTGCACAGGATTGCTTGTCATGATGTGTGAACTCACCCATTGTACAGGTTAGCATTCTGTATTCTTTTCTGCATATTAACTTGTATGTGGCAATAAATCTTCCATCCAACTACAAAAAAGGATAAATATTGAAAGGATAAGCTGTCTTCCACTTCCAGTGTTTTTCTATAAGCACTGTATTTACTGCTTTTCCCCTTCATGGATCACTGCCATGTCATGGCGAAGGGGCTTGCGTAGCTCAATGAAGCTATGAGCTATGCTGTGCAGGGCCACCCAAGGACAGGTCATAGCAGAGAGCTGTGACAAAACGTGATCCACTGGCGAAGGAAATGGCAACCCACTCCAGTACCATTGCCATGAAAACCACATGAACAGTACCAAAAGGCAAAAAGATATGACAGTGGAAGATGAGCCCCTCAGGTTGGAAGGTGTCCAATATGCTACTGGGGAAGAGCAGAGCGCTAGTACTAGTAGCGCCAGAAAGCATGAAGCGACTGGGTCAAAGCCGAAAGGACACTCAGTTGCAGATGTATCTGGTGGTGAAAGGAGTGTCCGATGTAAAGATCTATACTCCATAGGAACCTGGAATGTAAGATCCATGAATCAAGGCAAGCTGGATGTGGTCAAATGAGAGATGACAAGACTGAACATCGACATCTTAGGAATCAGTGAACTAAAATGGACAGGAATGGGTGAATTTAATTCAGATGACCATCAGGTATACTACTGTGGGCAAGAATCCCTCAGAAGAAATGGAGTAGCCTTCATAGTCAATAAAAGAGTAGGAAAAGCAGTACTGGGGCACAATCTCCAAAATGACAGAATGATCATGGCAAACCATTCAACATCACCGTAGTCCAAGTCTATGTCCCAGCCACTGGTGCTTAAGAGGCAGAAGTTGACTGGTTCTATGAAGGCCTACAACACCTAGAATTAACACCAAAAAACAATGTCCTTCATGGGGGACTGGAATACTAAAGTAGGAAGCCAAAAGGTAACCAGAATAACAGGCAAGTTTGGCCTTGGAGTACAAAATGAAGCAGGGCACAGGCTGATAGAATTTTGTCAAGAGAATATGATGGTCAAAGCAAACACTCTTTTCCAATGACCCAAGAGACGACTCTACACATGGACATCACCAGACGGTCAACACAGAAATCAGATTGACTATGTGCTCTGCATCCAAAGATGGTGCAGCTCTATACCAGGGGTCCTCAAACTTTTTCAATAGGGGGCCAGTTGAAGTGCAGCAGCTACACACATGGGCTGGTGAGGGAGGGGCCTGGGCACGTGGGCCGGTGAGGCATTGTCGGGCGTGCGAGGTGGCGGCAAGTGCACGTGGCGGCAGCTCACTTGCTGGGAGATCTCCCAGTGAGTCCAAAACCATCTCTGAGCGAGCAAGCCACCACCTCCAGCCCGTGCTGCAAGGCAGCGGCAAGTGTGTGGGGGAGACAGGCGGCGGCTTGCTCACTCGGAGATGGTTTTGGACTTGTTGGGAGATCTGCCAGCGGGTCCAAAACTATCTCTGAGCGAGTAAGTCACTGCCCCCAGCCTGCGCAGCAAGCACGGGCGAAGGAGTGGGTCGGATGAATGGGCATGGCAGGCTAGATCCGTCCCGTGGGCTGTAGTTTGAGGACCCATGCTCTATACAGTCAGTAAAAACGACGAGCTGACTGTGGCTCAGATCATGAGCTTCTTGTTGCAAAATTTAGGCTTAAGTTGAAGAAAGTAGGGAAAAGCACTTTGACCTAAATCATATCCCTGATGAATATACAGTAGAGGTAACAAACAGATCTAAGGAATTAGATCTGATAGAGTGCCTGAAGAACTATGGACGGAGGTTTGCAACATCGTACAAGAGGTAGCAACTAAAACCATCCCAAAGAAAAAGAAATGCAAGAAAGCAAAATGGCTGTCTGAGGAAGCTTTACAAATAGCTGAGGAAAGAAGGGAAGCGAAAGGCAAGGGAGAAAGATACACCCAATTGAATGCAGAATTCCAGAGAATAGCTAGAAGAGATAAGAATGCCTTCTTAAATGAACAGTGCAAAGAAGTAGAAAACAATAGATTAGGGAGGACCAGAGATCTCAAGAAAATTGGAGATATGAAGGGAACGTTTCATGCAAAGATGGGCATGATAAAGGACCAAAATGGCAGGGACCTAACAGAGGCAGAAGAGATTAAGAAGAGGTAGCAAGATTACTTAGAACTATACAAGAAAGAGCTTAACGTCCCTGATAACCACGATGGGGTGGTCACTGACCTCGAGCCAGACATCCTGAAATGTGAAGTCAAATGGGCCTTAGGAAGTCTGAGCAACAACAAAGCTAGTGGAGGTGACAGTATTCCAGCTGAGCTATTCAAAATCTTAAAAGACGATGCAGTAAAAGTGCTATACTCAATATGCCAGCAAATTTAGAAAACTCAACAGTGGCCACAGGATTGGTAAAGGTCAGTTTACATTCCAATTCCAAAGGAGGACTATGCCAAAGAATGTTCAAACTACCGCACCATTGCACTCATTTCACATGCTGGCAAAGTTATGCTCAAAATCCTACAAGCTAGGCTCCAGCAGAATGTGGACCGAGAACTACCAGAAGTACAGGCAGGATTTCGAAGAGGGAGAGGAACTAGAGATCAAATTGCCAACATACGCTGGATCATGGAGAAAGCTAGGAAGTTCCAGAAAAACATCTACTTCTGCTTCATTGACTATGCTAAAGCCTTTGATTGTGTGAATCACAACAAATTGTGGCAAGTTCTTAAAGAGATGGGAGTACCAGACCATCTTATTTGTCTCTTGAGAAACCTATATGTGGGTCAAGAAGCAACAGTGAGAACTAGACACGGAACCACTGATTGGTTCAAAATTGAGAAAGGAGTTCGGCAAGGCTGTTGCCCTACCTGTTTAACTTATATGCAGAGCACATCATGAGAAAGGAGGGGCTCGATGAATCACCAGTTGGAATTAAGATTGCTGGGAGAAATAACAACCTCAGATATGCAGATGATACCAATGGCAGAAAGTGAAGAGGAACTAAAGAGCCTCTTGATGCTGGTGAAGGAGGAGAGTACAAAAGTTGGCTTGAAACTCAACATTAAGAAAACTAAGATCATGGCATCTGGTTCTATCACTTCCTAGCAAATACATGGGGAAGATATGGAGGTAGTGACAAATTTTGGTTTCCTGGCTCCAAGATCACCACAGATGGGGACTGCAGCCAAGAAATTAAAAATGCTTGCTCCTTGGGAGGAAAGCTATGGCAAATCTAGACAGCATACTAAAAAGCAGAGACATCGCCCTGCCAACAAAAGTGCGTATAGTGAAGGCTATGGTTTTCCCAGTTGCAGTGTATGGCTGTGAAAGTTGGACCATAAGGAAGGCTGAGCGCCAAAGAATTGAAGCCTTTGAATTGTGGTGCTGGAGGAGACTCCTGCGAGTCCCTTGGACCACAAGGCGATAAACCCTGACTGCTCTTTAGAAGGCCAGATCCTGAAGGTGAAACTCAAATACTTTGGCCACCTAATGAGAAGGAAGGACTCCCTGGAGAAGAACCTAACGCTGGGAACAATTGATGGCAAAAGAAGAGGACAGCAGAGAATGAGGTGGCTAGATGGAGTCACTGAAGCAGTTGGCATGAGCTTAAGTGGACACCGGGGGATGGTGGAGGACAGGAATGCCTGGAGGAATGTTGTCCATGGGGTCGTGATGGGTCAGACACAACTTCGCAACTAACAACAAAATACTGCTTTCAAATACAATCAGTTCTCCAAACTTGGATTAAGTTATCTATATCCATTTTTATGAGGAAACTGAATTTGTTAGTACCGCCAAAATCTTTCTGTAGCTTGCCCATGCCAAGTTTTAAACTAAGTTTTGTCTGTGTGCCAGGGTCAAGTTTTTGGACAACAACTAACATTTGTCCTGAAAAATGAAGATCAATTCTGCTAAGGTATAGAAACATGAGAGAACACTTACTTAGCTATAACAGATATTTACTACTGTTAATCACAATCACTATTAGCTTCTATCATGTTTAATGCAGTCTGTAGGCACAAGCAGAGTTATGGGATTTTTTCCCCTCCATAGTGTAGTGAATCTCTCCAAATACATAGAACTGTTGCAAACTTGTGCTCTGTAATGGAATGTAACTATTTCTGCTCAATGATCCACTTGCTAGATTGTGCACTCTTCACTGTTGCTTTCTTGACAATTAACTCAAACTGGTCAACACTGATTTGAATGTAAAATCAAGATGAAAGCCAAACTAGACAAGTTTCACATGACAGTTGCATCATTTACATTGACAGCAGAGAAAAAATAATGTACACATTTTTAAAAAGTAAAGCAGCATGGAAACCACTATGGCAATGAGAAAATGCCTCAAAATTAACTAGTGTAATCTTTAAAATATATATATACACACACACACACACAACTTGTGGGACTCTTCAAACTCCTGAATATTTTGATAAGGTAATCAATTTCTCTTCTGCACTCAAACTACATTTAGTGGTCACTTCTGGTAAAATCAGATCATAGTTTAATACAGTACTGTTGCATTCATGTGAATATAGAATTTAAGAGTGAAAGTCAGGGACAAACATAAAGATGTCAGCCTTCTGAGCTAACAAAAAGGGATACCGAACTGGCATTCAAACTGAGCATCCTATGAAAATATAGTTACAATTATATGTAAACCATCTGGACTAGTTTTTAACTACAGTCAATCAAATGCCTTGTGATTTTAAGCACACTTCATTTTCAACTCTGCTTCCACCAAGTAAGCTAGTATAAATATCTAACAGTAGTAATCAATTTAAGAGCTTTGAGCAATAGTATGTATTATGGTGCTTTGTTAACCAAGGCTCTAAATCCATTTCATATGGTGCTCCCATTTTTACCTAAGTACAAAATACGACTTAAAGTATTTGCCTAAACATTTAGTCTTTATTAGCATTTTGACTTAATACTTTTCAATTTTGTGTACATCCAACCCAACTGCAATTAAAGGCTCCGTGCATTAGCAATAACTGAAGAGAGCTGCAATTTGAGGGCATTTTCAAATATTACAGATCTTAGGACAAGATCAGTACAAAAATGTAACAAATAAGTCACAATAGAAAATAGCAGCTCCATAGAATTTTCAAGTTTTACTTAAAGTGACAGTTCAGACTGCTTCATTCTTTGATGCTTCATCAAAGTTCTCCACAAGATCTGAAAGAAAGAGTTAGCAAGTCAGACTTTTAAAGAATATCACACTTGCTATTTACAAATTTCTCATGCTAAGTTCAATAAGCTTATTTGTAATTCAAATGATCCACCAAAGAGGTTAACTAGGAAACATTTTCATTCCTACAAGGGCTTGCCCCTTATTTTGGTAATCCCCTCCTCCTGCAACCCTCCCAGAGTATACAAGTCTGCCCCAACCTTTAAGAGCAGATTTTCTGGAAGCAGGGGGGATGTAGAAAAGAGGAAGCAAGAAGGTTTTATTCCATGAGTTGGACACTGCCCTCAGAAGTCAAAGCCAAGCTTAAGATAAAGCTACTCTATCACAGCCCTATAGCACAAAGTTAAGAAACACACAGAATGCTAGATCAAACATAATGAGCAAGTTTGCACACTATGGTGGCAAATTGTGGACTACTTAACCTAGTCTTTACTTGGAAACACACTGCTTCCACTACGCAAAACACTTTCCAGACTGTAGGCTGATGAGTGACATAAACCAGAACACACTGGGTTAAACAAGCCAAGTAACCTACAATTAACGTTCTGCATGTCCCCAAGAAACTGTCAGTTAATTAACCCACAATCTGCTGCCTTGGCATACCAACCTGATCTAAAATAATTTGCACTTAGTACAATCCTTGGGCAAAAAAAATTGTCAGAATTCTTGGGCAGCCGTGTTTTAAAGATGATCATTAATACTATTACCAAGATGTCTACTGCTATCTCAATGCCTCCCTTATTTGGCAAGTCCACAGTTCATTTTGAAAGAGTAATATGGCACATTTACAAAGTTGTTCCACAAGATGGCTTATAGTAGGGAAACACTTAATGCATCGATATTTAAATTACATAAACTAAAAGAGCAGCATAAGCCACCTCAGACCAACAATGCAATATACCTTCAAACAGGACCACAGCTCTAAACCAAGTGTAGCATCAATTTAAAATCCAGCCTACTCTTTCCCAGAAGTGGACTGAAATTAAAGTTTAAGGCCTGCCTTAAAGAACAGAAAAAATTCAGACAGGAATCAAGCAATACCTTTTGAGAGAGTTCTAAATACAAGACTACTACACCAAAAGTGTTCCCATCTCTTGTGCCCAATGATAGCCTTCATCTTGACGGCAACTGGATGCACAGCCCCTAGCCAAGTCCTGGCAGATCTTTTAATCTTTATGGACCAGGTTTCTTCAAGGTCAATGCCAGCACTTAAAACTGGCTTTGGAAACAAACAGGCAGCTCATACAAAACTGAAGGCATATACACTGAATGCTTACTCCACACAAGCATTGAGGCCAAAACCCCTGCACCATCTACACAACACAACCCCCCAGAAAGCTCATTACAATATTCTAGTCTGGATATAACCAGTACATGAACAATTAAGTTCTTACTGTTTACTGGTTTATCACTCTGAACAAATACAAAGAATTTCTAGCCATTGCTACCAACTGTGCTTCCACAGATAGCATTGAGTTCAGAAGGATCCCAAGCCACAAACACTGTCAGAGGAAGTGCAACTCCATCAAGATCAGTTGATGTGGCTCACACAGCTCCTCTGTCTTGTCTTAACGAAGTCTCAGCTTATCTACCCTCCTCAGTTCCAAAAACAGCTTCAGGACACACATTCATTACTTATGCAAAAGAAGAAATGAAGACAAGTATTCTTACCTGGTACTTCATCATCATCATCTTCTCCAGTAGCAAGAGGTGCTTTTCCATCCACAGCTATAATCAGAAATAACGAAACACAAATGTGATATCCCAAAGTCACATTTTTTCAGGAATAACCCCATCTGCAGTAAGACCTAGTGACATAGGTTGCAAACCTCTACTGAACTCAACCAAACTTAAGTCTGAATAAAATTCACATTTGCATTGCTTACAACTCAGTCCTGTACACCAATAAGTACCTACTCGATAATATTGTACTCACTGATCATTGTTTTCCACAGTAGACAATATGTGGTTTAATAAGCAGGCTAAAAGGAGATGAGCCTCAACCTATATCTGACAAAATACAAGCAGCCCAAATTTTAGTTGCTGCAAACAAGAAAATCATAAGTCTTATAAATTCCTTCTAATATTTAAGAAGTAACACATGTACAATATACTTCATCTATTTCACAGAAATTTCCTAAGTATTTTAAATGGAAAAAAGAACTGCAAGGGTGCAAGAACCGAAGAAAAGCCATGCAAAGGTTCATCTTGTCCAGTATTCCATACACAGTGCCAAACTAGCTGCCCACAGAATCACTCAGGATGGGTGCAAGCTTGCCCAAGCTCCTTAGTAACTGGTGTATACAGACATGCCACCTCTGGTAAAGGACCGCAAGGCTGGTATCTACCAATACTCTTCACCCTCACAAATCTGTCCAATTCTTTTTTAAAGGCAGTCAGATTGGTGGCCATCAGCAGTTCCTGTGGCAGTGAATTCCATAGTTTAAACATTGTGTGAAGAAGTGCTTCCTTTTATCTGTTCTACACCTCCCACCCATCAGACTTATGGGATGACCCCAGGTTTGAATGTTATGGGAAAGAAAATAAATGTCTTCCCCTCTACTTTTTCCACACCATGCAGCCACTCTTTGTTTTAAAGTAGATTAAAATGTTTTTGCTCATACATAAGTTTTATAGCTGCATGTATCCATAGAATGCATATCCACAGCATGACACAGCATACATACTTCATCAATTTAGTTAATGTTAAGCCTCTCTCCAGCTTTTATGTATTGTGCCTGAATTTCAGGAAATAATGGGTTTACTCTGTCCTGTCCTTCTCCCAAGCTATGTGGGACTGCCTCCTATCCTGGGAAACAACACACTATCAACAGAGAGGGACCATTTTTCACTCTCTCTCAGGGGTAGAGGAGGACAGTAAAAGGAGCTCTGAATATCTTGGAAGTTTCAGATAGGTGTTGCTGCCTGTTTCAAATATTGCATATACACAAATTAACTGCTGACTTCTGCAACATACTGAATCCACAATGTTAAGTCAAGGAAAAAGAAAATTTGACAAAACAGCAATGCAGTGCCATTTCCCCTCAGTGCACAACTACTTATTTTATGTATGTACATACATATTGATATCCTGCCCTTTTCCTTTCAAGAAACTCAAGGTAGTTTATAGAATTTCCCTCCTGAATCTTATCCCAACAACAACCACCGTGTGACGTGGATTAAACTGGGTCTGCAGCTGGCTCAGAACCACCTAGTGAATTCCATGGCCAAGTGGGGAGTAGAACCTAAATCTCTTGGATCCCCAGTCAGACACTCTAGCCACCAGTGACTCTCTCAGAGCTTTCAAGTGAAGTCTAAAAGTGTTGATTAAATTAAAATTGGCCGTTCCACTTTTAGCCAGCAATCTAACTATCCTGTAATTAAAAATTCTATCATACTACTGATTTACTGCTTTTATATTAAACATAGCAAATAAATCTTTACTTGCTTCCTAGAGAAAGCACCATTCCACTAATGCTAGGAGTGCCTATCCTAGCTTTCTGTAGCCTTCCTAGCATAATTCAAAGTGTGGATATGATTTGAACATTAAACTTGTATCTTGCTTCTCAAGGACATCTGAGAAGATGAGACATGGCCAGTCACAAGAGCCAGGGTTATCTCAGTGGTTCTAGCTGCAGAATACATTCTTTATGAAAACTTCAAGATCAAGCCCAAGCTTTCAGGGACACTACACTGCAAATCTTATGCCTGGGCTTGTTGATACTTGACAACTGCTTTAAAAAGTACAGTGCTATTAATCATCAATTATAGCATGTCTTCAAGTCCTACTTACATTGTTTGGGTAGAGCTTCTGCTAGTCTCCTCAAGCTTGTCAAACTGTCAGCACCAAGCTGGTTTAAGATGCTAGGCAACATTTCAGTCAGTTGCTTTGTCTCAGCATGGCCAGTGATTGTGAAAGTGTTAGCAGCTAGAGAAGCTTGAACCTTAGGGTTGTTGAAGTGGATGACAGTGCCCTGGTTGGTAAACATGTTTACCTACAAAAGAAATCAAAACTAGTTAACAATAAAACTCTCAAAGTTAATGAACTTTATTTCAATAGCAAATTCCATACTTGAACTCAGTTTTCTGAAACAAGCATTTCCTCAGAACAAAACAGAAACAAGCTCTTTATGAAAATACTTTAAACGAAAACATGAAAATATAAAGGTTACCTCTTCAATACCAGAAATGTTATTTACTCCCAATTTCTTTAAGGAAAACTGAAGCTTCTTGTCATCTGCTGTAGCTGTTCTATGAACCACCTTCTTCTTTCTGCGGGCAGTACCCTATGGATAAAGAGTATAATTTTTATACACCCAGAACTAAAGTGTCTAAATAGCAAGCAACTCAAGGTATAAAGTGAAGTTTCTGCTTCTGCTACAAAAACTAGACAGCTCCACCCCATTTACTGCTAAATAGAAGTGAAACATCATAATTCTGGCAAGTACAATTAGCTAAAAGGGAGACTTGTTCATAAAAACTTCTCTGGTATCCTTTGGCAAACACCCTCTGGAAGGAGCCAGAGAAGCTTTTAATCTTTATTTTTTCAGGCTATTGAGTTGCCATCAATGAGCAACACAGGTGTATCACTCAATCAAGCTTTGTTGAATGGAAGAGTAATGTTTTTGTAGATGTGTCTGCAAAATTGAATTAAAATGCAATGTTAACTCAGGGATTAACACATGAAAATTCTGTGGAAAAAGGAGATGCAATTAAACATAACTACTGCCACACCCTCCCAATCTTCAGTACTGGTACAGTGACTCACATCACACAATCCAGAGTTACAAGAAATAGAGATGAACATCAGCACAACCCATGAACTTACCTCCTGTTTGTACAGAATTGCTTGCAATGCTAAGAAAGGCTGCTATGCAATACTCTAATCAAGTCTAAACTGTTAAATTTGGATGAACTGTTCTTAAACTGGCAGTTAATTATGGAGAATAAAATATCTAGAAAAGGTAGAGGGGTTAAGTTTAAGGAAGACATTCTAGAACCATTTTAATTATTTAATAAATGAAATGCAGTGAATGAGTTTCACATCTTCAACAACAGTAGGAACTACTTCTGTTTCAAAGATTGGACTTGTTTATGACAACTAAATCGATAGCAACAATCTTAAAGTAGGTTACATGATAAAATTATAGGTCCTGATGGTAAATTACTTCCTTATGTCACAACCTGAAATTCAACTAGCTACACCTCAATTAAAGATAGCTGTCTAACATGAGTTATCAGGTGCTAACTTATGATGATGTATACATTCTGGTACAGAGACCACAGAAACATAGACTAGTAGAGCTGGAAGGGGCCAAGGAGGCCATCAGGTCCAACCCCCTGCTCTTGTTGGACAACAGTTTACACCATCCCACTCAGATAATTGTCCAGTTATTTTTTAATATCTCTATATAGGAGAGCCTACCACCTCTCTAGGCAACTGGTTCCACTGTTGTATTGCTCCTGTTCAACCTCAAACAATGGAATTCTGTTTAATAGTGAAGGCCAACAGGAGTTGCATCCAACATCTGTAAAACTAATGTTCCCCATTCCTGCACTAGACTAAAGCACAAAACTCGCTTAGACTCACCCCACTGCACTTCATGAGTGTGTAGGCCAGGGGTCTCAAACTCGCAGCCCTCAGGCCAATTGCCAGGACAGGTAGGGCACAGGGGAGGGGCCATGCGGCCTTCAAAACACCGGCAGCGCCCAGGCCGGCCTCCGGATGAGGGCCCACCACCACCACCGCAGTGGTGGAATACTTGATGCGGCCCAGCCTCACCCAGACTCTACTTCCAGCAGCCCCCAGGTAAGTTGAGTTTGAGACCCCTGGTGTAGGCACTTCAATCTGGGTCTCCCTGTTTTAATATGACACAAGGCCCATGTCGCACTGCCTTAGTAGGTAAACTTTCCTATGCACAATTCCTGAAGGTATGCCCCACAGCACAGAACTGGGATAAGCAGAGACTAGGTTGCAATGCATAGCTCAATTACAACCTCCTCGTAAATCAGTCATTAAATCCTACTTGGCTTATGCAGAAAACAAAAGCATGAATGCCGCTTTATTAGGTCAAAAGCAAAGAAAAATATGAATTAATGCAGTAATATCCGGTAGCAAGCCTAATGAGAAAACAAATTTTGGAGACACCAAACTGAAAAGGCAGCCAAGAGAGATGCGAGGAACCAAATCAACCGCAGCCTTACCTTTCCACCGATGCGCACTTGTGCTTGAAGCTTAGCAAGTTTCTCTTGATTCATGATAGTTTCTTTCATCTAAGAAAATAAAAGAGTCGATTAGGTCGACAGCGTGATGGCGCCTCAAAGCTTCCCTGCTCCCCTGGGCCTGGAGGACTGAGGCGAACCTAAACGTGACGCGACCCGACCCATGAGGAACTGCACGTTCCTCAGCCAAGGCGGCAACCTCCACCCCTTGCGGGCTGTTCCTCTGGAGAGTCACAAGCCCAGACTCCAGGCCCAGAACAGGAGAAAAAAATCCAGCACGACGTCCTTGAGACACCGGCGGCGTGGAGGGCGGAATCAGCCGGAACCTGGTGGCAGGCACCGGGGTTCCCTCGAAGGTGAGGTCCGAGACTTCTTTCCGACTCACAGGCCCAAGGTTTCTGCCAGAACGAACACCCCGCCGCTACGGCAGACGACTATCCTCCCTCCCGCCTTCCCTGAGTAGCCTCTTTATACCTTCTCGGGAGGAAAGACCCCGATCTGGGCAGGTCAAGAAGCAGGAGAATGCGGGAACTATAGCGCAGAGCCTGGCGGGAGCGTGCGAAAGGATCCAAGATGGCGGACGAAAAGGAAAACAGGCAGCGGTGACGCTATGACGCAGGGTGACGTAGTTTGCGCGCGCGTTGCCCTCCCGGTTGCTGCCTTCTCGCGCATGCGGCGCATGCGTAGTCTCTTTCGCTGTGGTGCGTGATGGTTAGTTCGCGTTTGCAAAGCGGGTGGTACCGGAGATTGGTTGGTTGGTTGCATTTATATACCACCCCAATCTCTGGGCGGTTTACAAACATTAAAACCCCAAATACAGTATCCAATCCTAAGCAAATAGATTGGCTACACCACAACTGAGTATAAAATAAAATAACTTGATTAAAATGAATTAAATGAATAAATATATACAATTAAAATTAATTAACTTTAAAATATTGGTTAAATAAAAAGGTCGTGCTGGTAGTGCGTGAGTTCTAAGAGCAAAACATTCAGGGCTCAATCCTACGTATGCTGTGAGTTACAAGACATTTGGCGTCTTCTTCCAAATGCTTGCACTCTGAGTGAAGGCTTCACTCCATTTCCTTCCCCAAAATTCCTAGTTTGGTACCCAAAAGTTGTAAGAGTGGGTGCCACCCAGACAAAGCGACCTGAAGAGTACATTGCAGAGGAACTGTGCCATCTCCCCACAAGCCACTTAGCTGACCTCCAAAGCTTGAAAGTTCCCCATCAGTTGCTGTATTTCCAAAGCAAGACACAACTGACAGAGATGTGGAGATGCAAATAAAGATGAAGGAATCATGATGTGCAAGAGTAAGCATCCTGAACAAGTCTTTCTGGGAAAGAAATAACATTCTCCCATTGCAACAGCAATAAAAACGAGACCAGACTGGACAATGGGAAAACAAAAACCCACAGGGATATTAAGTGAATTCATGAGTCTATGTAGCTCTGTACTGCCTACTACACTGAATGGCAGGGACTTTTCAGGAGAACTTACCAAGCCCTGCCTGGAAATGCCACTCATGAAACCTGGGATGTTGTGCATTCCATTGTAGGTGCATTCTCATCAGTCAGAATCGTACTGGTATTAGCAGAAAGCAAAAAAATGCTTCTTTTGATTTTGGAACTTTCCATCACTATCAAGAGTTTGAGCATACTTCTGATTCCACAACTTTCAGAGAGAAATTGCAATAAAATAAAGCAAAAACCCTTTATAAAGTCAAAGCTGTGAACAGGGGCAAAATTCCATGGATGGCTTCCTATTGACTTGAACTTTGTCTCTGTATTTAAGAGCTTTGCTGGAAATTGAAACCTTATTACTAGGGTAAATGTTGAAGTGCAGGTGGTAATCATGACAGTCCCTATATGTATGCCCTTCCTAACTGTATCTAATTTGAAGAAATTTAATTTGAGACCTGCATACAAAACAGCTGTTCTGCCACTGAGCAACAGCCCCATAAGTCAGGAGGTTCTGGGCAGAGGCAGTGTCAGGGAGAAGGTCCATTAGGGCTGGAGCCCTGAATTTCTGCAAAGTCATTGGCCTCCTCATCCAGCTGCCCATGAGCACCTGCTGAATACTGGTACAGGGACCTTGCTGTTCTGCCCTATACCATTGATTTGATCCCCTGCATTAACTGGCTTTTTGCTCACAGATGTTTCACCTCCTGCACCCCTAATCTGTCTGCCTTTCAGTTTTTTTCTGAAATCAAATGTCCTTCTCTCCTGTGTTCAAACAATCTTTCTTACAAATAGAGAAATCCTTAGAAGAAAGTCCTTTGGAGATACACAGGGAAATTTTAGAGCGTATGTAAAGTAGCAAATGCAAATTTGTGCATGTTTTCCTGTTTTGTCCTGTGCACCTGTTCCCTGGAATGTTTAGGTACCTATCACCCCACCAGATCTGGGGATGTTCTTGTCATTTTCTCTCCTGCATGCCAGATGTGGCTTAGTCACGAAGGCTGATGGCAATGCTTACAGGTGTAGCATTCCTTAGCATTTAGGTTTGGTCCTGCCAGCTTTACAGCATCAGAGTCTCTTTCATTATTGGTAGCACTTACTGAAGCTGGTCAAACAAATTGACCCATGATTCATGTATCACTAGAAGCTCAGGTGACGGCGGTGGCGAGGAGCACCTTCCTTCAGCTTCAGCTGATCCATCAGCTGCGTCCCTTCCTGGAGAACGACTGCCTGGTGACAGTGACACACACATTGGTAACTTCCCGATTAGATTTCTGTAACATGCTCTACGTGGGGCTACCCTTGAAGATGGTCCAGATACTTCAGTTGGTGCAGAATAGAGCTGCCAGGTTGCTGACGGGGACTGGGTGTTGTCCTCATATAACCCCAGTTCTCCATCAGCTCCACTGGCTCCTGATTGAAGTCCGGGCCCAATTCAAGGTGTTGGTTATGACCTATAAAGCCCTCAACGATTTGGGACCTGGGTATCTAAAGGAACGCTTGCGTCCATATATGCCCTCCCACCCCTTGAGATCGGCAGCAGATGCCCTTCTCCAGGAACCCTCCGTGAATGATATTACGAGGGTGAGTACTCGGAGGAGGGCCTTCTCTGCGGTGGCTCCCCATCTATGGAATGTGCTCCCTAGAGAGGTCTGCCTGGTGCCACGTCATTTGTTTTTCGGCACCAGGCTAAGATCTTTTTATTTAAAACTTATTTTGATTGTTAATTTATTGTATTTATAGGATTTTAAAATTTTTAAGCCGAGATGTCACCGGGGTTTTTAATTTAATTGTATAATTGTTTATATGTTTTATTCATGTTGTGAGCCGCCCCAAGGCTTTGTTGTGATGGGGGCGGCATAGAAGTGTTTAAATAAATAAATAAATGTATATAAATATTTTTATTCTGAATAAATATGATATGTAGGGGTTTACATAAGCAGGAATGAAATAGGTAATTGTCCCAGAAGAAGAATTGTCCCTTTCTGCCTTATCACTTAATTGCTGTCTATACCTGTTGCATCTATGAATCTTAGTCAACAAAACCATTTTTGTCTATTGGGCACCTCAGTGTCTCTTTCGGCAAGGCATTGCCTAATTTGGCTAATTGCTTATAGTGAATGCTGTTAACACTTCCTTCAGACATCTGTTTTGGCAATATCCACTAGTTTCTCTTGGAAGGGAGCATATTAGATACATTTTGCACAGTCTTTAATACACACTGGTGTACAAACACTTTTAAATGACTTACCTGCTTCATGGAAATTAAGAAATGGTCAACATGTAAGTATTCTCCATGCCCTTTCGGCAGATAAAAGACTGCTAGTACAACACTGGAAGTATAAACACTCTCCCTCTATAATGTGAAGGACTGAGGCCTTTATGATACTTTCTACACTTTAACACTTTCATATGCCAGCATTCAAATGACTGGCATATGGATGCTACCTTCACGTAGATGCTTATTTGAACGCCCTATTCCAATATCTGGTCTGCTTTTGTTGAAACCCATGTCTAATTGCTATATATTTTCATATACATGCATTTCATATATCTTCATTGCTATTGATATACACATACTGAAGTATAAACACTGACAATTTAAAATGAGGTCTGGGGCCATTTTTACTCCCTGAATTGCAGGTTCCCCACCCCCCATGCAGGTGCGCGTGCACACACACACACACACAAGTCAATAGGATCTGGGCTTTAGAGGGCATACTGGTATATTTGTCATTTCCATAGGAGGGAGCAGCACCCTTCCACTTTGTTTAAACCATTTCCACGACTTGTTGAATGTCGCAACTAGGAATCTAGTGACTGGCCTTGCTTTTTTCTCCTCCATCCTAATCCTCTTTTTGCTTTGTGTATTTTAGATTGTATGCCTGATGGCAGGGACTGTTATTTCCTATCTTCATTAGCCATACTGGAAAGCTTTTTGACTGAATAGGAAGATAAAAATACTATAATCATGGAACATAATCAGATTGTAGTATTATGGAAGTAAGTGGACAGACATGTGGAAGTGCTTCCCACTGGAAGCTGCAGGCCTTTCTTCTGAGTCAATATCAATAAGATCATGTTGCAAATACTGTGTATGGGAAAAGCTATTCTGATTCCATGTGACCCCTGTCAATCTCCATAAATCATGCTTGCATAGTTTAAGATCAACTGTATCTCTGGAAGACATACAGTTCTTGGATTCTTTTTTTTTCTCTTACTTTAACCAAACAGAGAGAAGCTTCTCACTTCTTTTCATATTTTAGCTGATCCTTAGTTATGCCTAGCTGCTGTGTGTTTCCAAACCCATGAGTTACTTTATGTGATGCAAAAGAGGAAGGTAAAGGAATGAAGGAAGCAGTGAAACCCGAGACCCTGTTGTCCAAAGGCCTTGCCATCATCTTGCAGGAGCATGCAAGAGGCTTCTGGAGAGACTTCCAGGTCACACGTCCTGTTCCGGGGTTCAGTCCATCATGACTCAAAGCAGGGCCTTTAGTATTGTGCTGCCCACCCTCTTGATCTGCACACCGCTGTCAGTTGTCAGGTGCCAGTCCTTTCAGGGTCTTGGCACTTAATGGAAACAAACACTTTCCAGCAGGTACTCCCAGGAAGCCAATTTTATCTTCACCATGAACATTTGTTTTGGTGCATCAGTTAGACATTTCTTTAAGCTATTCATAAATATGGTTGAATAAATAAAATGTTCTGTACTTTGCAATATTCAAAAACAGAGTTAAACCTTCCCTATCCTGATGCCAATTGCAGTACTGATTGGCAGTAATGCAGTTTGGTCATTTAAAATGACCGTATAGTCTGAAGTGTTTGATCCTGCCTAATCTGGGAAGCTAAGGAGGCTTGGGCCTGGTTGAAATCAGGATGGGTGACTTGAATGTTGTGAACCACCCAGAGAGCTTTGGCTATGGGTGGTATAGAAAAGTAAAATAATAATACTTCTATGAGGGAAACCAAGTGCATTCTTTCAGATGTGATGTACACACACAACATCTCTCCTCTCCTCTCCTTCTCTCTCTCTCACACACACCACTACCCCATACTTTGCAATTGCACGGATCTTCCTAGCATTTTAAAGCAACTCCCACCACCACCTTGAAAAGGGCTTGCCAATCCTGTACAACAATAATAATTTGAGC